GGCGTGTCCTGTGAACTTTGCATTAATCTCAGGAAATGGATCTGATGGATAGTGAAAAGGGTAAGATCATTTATCATTAAAAGAACAAACAGAAGTACATTTTGATACGTTTGAGTTTTATCATATTGGTAGATTAAGCCTTTCAAACGCAAGAAATTTTGTTGATCCTGAACATGGTTCCAAATGTTTTTAAAAAGACATAGGATAATGCTATAGTAAATAGCTGAAAATAAGCTCTACATTTCACTTTTAATTTTCTAGATATAGAACCCATGGATTAGTTTACTGATCAGTTGCCAACCAATATATATACAAAGGATCAATGCACTAGTCAATGTACATTCAAAATGATGCTTGCAAACATGTATAAGGAGCTGAATAGTGAATATTGTACATGTATATTAGTAATTATAATTTACACTGGCAGCTTTGTAAATTTAAATGATTACGCCTAAAACAAGTAAAAAATCTTTTTTAAGCAATATTTAATTTATTGAAATACACTGGAAAGTTATTTACATTTAAACTTCATTTAATTAATATGTTATATTTACTAGTCTGAAATGATTATAATTTGGATTCATTTTTGCATATTTTAATTTCATGTTTTCAATGTGATATCAGTTGCCTTCATATGCCATACATAATATTATTAATATAGATTAAAATCTGTATAGTTATTCATGATTTGACTGTGAATATGGAAAAAAAAATTTGTTTCTAACAAATAACATATCTTAGACTTTGAATACTTTTCCAGTAAAACTGCTAAATTCTTGGATAAAGAAGAAAAAATGATTCAAAACTTTCATTGACATTTATAAAAAAAAAAGATATCTAAAAAAATGATACAAAACTCTCATTGACATTTATCAAAAAAAAAGATATCTAATATATTTTTTGATAAGGAAGGCTGATGAGTTTAAACATTTGTTATCAAAATGTGAGCATGAGGTGAGATGTTGGTTATTATCAAGTTAGGTAAACATACTTGAGATAGACAACCACCTTGAAAGTAGCCGTATGGCAAGCATCCACATATAATTTACACCATGTTATATATAGTATAGGGCATACTGAAGTAATTATTATATTATTTGTGATAGAATTAACTCATATTTGTATACTGGAACATTAGTTATTTTACATCATTAATGAACTGCATTGAACTAGCTCCCATCTTAATTAGTTTAAGTACATGTATTTGGAACGAGAGATTTATAGTTTTTTAATTCTTGATGATTGCAATTCTTAACTGAGTTGATTTGAACAAAAATTTGTGTTGAAATGTTACAATTTATTTTTGATTATTCTGTGATGTAAATTTAATATAGTTGATGTTAATTAAGGAAATATGTAGACTAGGCTTGTCCATCAGACAGACAGTTAATCAGCATTTGTTCTCTATTTTAGCTACATAAATGATATCTGACAAATATAAACAAATTTATTAAATGTGAAAGTATCTGTTTGGTTTTGTATTTGTCTTATTTTTTCTTGCTTCTTTTATTTTGAAACAAAATTTAATTTATTCTTATTTTTAAGGTAACGTTTTTTATTCTAATCTAAGATTTGCTACATTATCATAATAGTGTCCAGAGTTTTAAATAAATCAATAACCATATTCTAGACTAGACTGGACAGAAAGACTTCTTGTTGCTTGATCAATACAGTATTTTTCCCCATAAAACCTCTTACAAAATGTGGTACTAGATAAAACTGCCGCATTTTCCTTATTGTTTCTGTACAAGATATTTTATTAAATAAATTATCTTATCAACCATCTTGAATTCATTTTTGTGAAACATAAAGTGATCAAAGTCTTGACAAGATTATAGATGCTTAATTCATGATTTACTGTATATTTAGTGGTAGAAATTTTGAAGAAGGGAATGGGGAAACATAGGTCTAATATCCTTGGCCTTAATTTATTCATCTTTATCATAGAATTCATAATCATGGCTTTATTTTTGGTATTGACTCATTAAGTGCTAATAATTTTATCTTCTTTGCCTCCTTCTCAATGATTAAAGGCATATATAGACAGATAAAATATGTTGTTCATATGTTATTTGTTTATGTCTACGTGATAGTTACATCAGGAATAATAGGCCAATGTACATGCAACAGAGTACTTCTGTCTCTCTAGACAAGTAGACACAGTGGCTGGATATTAACTAGACATCTGACAGTGAGAGAAAAATTACAAGAATTTCTATGGAATATAACTTTGAGCTACAGCAATGTGATCTAGCTTCTATGAGTTGACATTAATATTGTGACTTGTGTTATCTCAGATGCCGAGATTAAAGGAAAATAAATTCAAAGTTTGATTGGAGATAAAGTGGGAACAGAGGTTCAAAGATAATGAGAAGCAATTCAAGTCATAATAAACACTGTACTGTTTTCATCAATTTAATGAATTCATTCCACCTGTTTTGAAAATTCTCCTGTATGTAAATATATATACTTTAAAATAGATCATGGATGAAGTGTATGAAACTAGGAAATTACTAGGTGAGTTCAAGTAGATATATATATACAACTGTCTCAATGTTGTAGTCAGTTTTCATAGTGAATGCGCTTTTGCTTCAGTGCTGTTATAATCCCCTTAGTTCTTAATGTGCTTCTTGTCCAAAGGTTAGCAAAAACTTGTTCACATGTTCAGAATCTCATAATAGGTGAAAGACTTCTAGGGATTCTTTAGTTAGGGATCAGACTTACCAAACCCATACTTAACAACTTATCATGTTAGAAATAAGTTTTATATTCCTGTCGTTAAATTCTTTAAGATGTATTTTATCAATAGGCTATATTTAAAACTGCATGCCTCCAGATGAACCAAAAATATATAATATTTAAAGAAAGTCAAACTTTAAAAAAAATGTACAAAGATTTTAGGAAAGTATAAAGACTGAAGATTAAAGTAATAATTTATATGCTATGTGCAAATTTTGCGCAGCAGTATTTCATATTTCTACTGCGTGACTAACACAGTAAAAAGGGCTACTTTTGCATATTAACTTCTTTTATGGATTGTATTATTAATGTAAGTGCTTTTTGCAGTGTGTAAAAATCATGAAAATTAGTATGAATCTGGAAGCATGCTGCTTTAAATTGTTATCCAGCAATACCAAGAATATGGCAAAGGAGTTATTTCCCCTGAAAAATAGTTTATCAGTCAATTATCTCACCATGGCTTATTTTGTTACTTAAGTCAATATTAAAAGGTCTATAGTACTTTTTTCCCCCCAAAAAAGGATATATTAAAAGGTCTATATCATATTACCGGGAGACTGATAATTATTGACATTTGGTTCAAAAACTTGGGTATCACAGAGACAATATTGATTTAAAACATCATGAGATTGTGTTAAGTTAGCATGACATCTATTAAATATCTTTCATGTGAAGAAGTTACATAGCTACTTTTAATTAAATCAAAGTAGAATATGATGGTTCTATGTTAGGTTAAAGCGCTGCACATACCTGAAATTATGTACAAAGCAGCACTGGTGTTCTTCCTCCAGAAGTAAAGCTTGAAAGGGACAATATGAGACACTTTATACAGTATTGATATGACTTTAAACCCAACCTAACAAGTATTATAAGTTACGGTATGTTATTTTTGTTTGTATGGACCTTTAAGCTCTGTACCCCATAATTCAAATCATTTTCTGCATATTCCATTTTTGGCTAATAGAAACAGCCTGTAGAAAAAACATCACAGATAAGTGGAAAGATAGTTACACATTGTGTCAAATTATGGTCATTTGAGCAATTTGGGTGAAGAAAATATTATCTAATATTTGTTCCCTGTGGTTTCCTTATTGTTTCTTTCCTTCTTTGATAAATCAGACAAAGCTAGCAATTATAGGAACTGTTATAATATGATTAGATGTTGATAATGACTGTGATAAAGTAGTCTCAACACTTTTAGGAAATTAAACTTATCAATAAATTTTTTGTGTTAACCATTCAAATTCTGGCATAGATAAAGATGTTGGTGTGGTGGAGTCTGCGGCCAAGTCCGACCAGGCTTGTACTGTTGGCTGATGATTCACTACTTAAATCCCAGGCAAACTCGCAAAGTTCAGTTCCAAATTCAAAGCAGAACCATTCTATTTCATAAAAAAATTCAGCATGGTTATGGGTTAAAATCTAAATACAATCTGATTTTAATATTAACAGTTTTGTGCAAATATCAATAACATAATGTAAAAACAAAACAAAAATGGATATTGGTTTATTAAGTCAAATAAAAAAGTAGCGTTATTGAAATTCAAGCTGTAATTGTATTGAAATGATTCAATCCAACTTAAAGGAAATATTAACTAGACTGTAGGTGACTTTTTAGGATGATGAAACTAGAAAAATTTCTTTTGAAATATAAATATACATGTTTCATATCATGACTTTGGAATACAAATGTGACCTTGACCTTTAAACTGGAGACCTGACTCCTATGCACATAACATCATCATAATGCCTTACACATTTAGGCCAAATTATAATAAAATCCATCCAGGAGTGACAGAATTGTTGACCAGACAGGAATATCAGTGTACTTTTATAATAATTCTTATCATGACTTGAAGTTTTGATCTATAAGTGTGAGCTTGACCTTTCAGGAAGGGGCCCAATTCTTGTGTGCAACACATCGCCATTATGTTCAACACATTTATACAAAATTATTTTTAATTTAATCCATAAATGACAAAGTTATGGAACGAACAATGTTCAGAAGGAAAGACGATGGCGGAAATGGAATGAGGGGCCATTTATTTTATTTTCTTTTGTTTAATAGAGGGCCGTTTACAGCTTACTCTATTGTTATGGAATGATTCTATTTATGGCCCCCTACCCTTTTGGGTTGTACGGACAGACTGACACTACAAAAACTATATGCCTCCCCACATAGCATAAAAATGCTGGGCTGCCAGATGATGCCCATTTGAATGCTATGTTAAGCTGACAAAAGTTGCATTGTCAAAGTTTATTTAGCAGATTTGGAAACATTTTAACATCAAATAAAATTCCTGTATTAATTATTGGCATAATTATATAATTTTCTTTTTAATACATTATAATTATGAAATACATAAAAAGTTAGAAGCTTTCTCTCTGTAACGGCTATCTAATGCCTAGACATAGTTAATCATAGCTCTTATGTCAGCACTGACATCTTGTATTCATATGGGAAGTTACTAAAACAAAGTTAGTTATTTAACAAACATAAAACTGATTTACCATATATACAGATAATTCACCGAGACTGGAGCCGATAGGCAACTTTTAGCTGTAAAGTAATATATATGGATATTACATGAAAAGGCAAATCTATATTTTTGTGTCATTTTGTAGTTTTGTAATTATGTGATGAAAGCCAGGGAGCTTATATCTTTGGCAAGAATTACTAGTAACAAATAAGAAAGCACAATAAGAAAGCACAATAAGAAAGCACAACAAAACATTACAGTTTTTTACTTTGTAATTGTTAACAAAGCTCTTCTACACTTAACATTGAACATCAGAAAACAAAAGAATACAACATAACATGATAACAAATTGTAACTTTGTTTATGTTTATCTTTTTTCAATAAATCAAGTGCTTAATTAGGAAAAGTTTAAAAAATAGTAAAAATTATTTAAGTTAAAGGTAAATTCTAAGTTTCATGATGATACAGCAGTTTTTAATAATCAGGTATTTATATCAGTGTTTATATATAGTTATGAAACAAAACTTCTTGCTGGAAACAGAAAAATGCCCCCAAAGCCAAGCCCATAAAAGGAACCATTAACCTTTGACTTAAAATAAAGGCTCTGTTACTATTAGTGTTACAAGAACAAAAAACATTAATATTTTCTTATATATTCATTATGGCAGATTATTTCCAAAAGCAATCATAAATAAATGACAGAGCTACATGTATGACCTGGCATCCAACTTCGTACTAATTGACATCCAAGTACATGTACAATGTATAAACCTTCACCTTTCTAACTGTTGACCTAGATTTTGCCAATGACGAATCTTCTTTATGTCCCACAAATCAATGCCTACTAATTTCAAAATCTATCCATATATGACAGAAACAAACATTTATTGACAATCATATGACTTTGGAGATACAAAAGTGACTGAGACCTTTGAGACATTATTTTTGTAAGCAACTGTTCAGTATCATATCAAACTCATTCGTGTAAATCATTTTAAAATTCATTCTGAAATGATCAGACATAACCATCAATGCACTTTTAAGAAAAAAATCCTTTCAAATCTGAATGACCTTGACCTGGAAAACCTTGATCTTGCATGTGATACATTGTCTTAAATGTACAGTAAAATCTATCAATAAATAACAAAGTTATGGACCAGACAAGAAGTGGACAGATAGATAGTATAAACCGGTACCAGCTTTCTGGTCATAGAAATTGTAAGAATGTCTAGCTGACATCTATATAATAACAAAGGTTTAAGATATTTAACTGTGTTAATCAATAAATTATTAAATGAAATAAGGTATATTTTTGTCTCTTTATAAATACTATCATACATAACACAAAGTTTCATTAACAATAGACTATTTCTATAAGACTGTCTAATAATAAAGTTTTTTACTGACATATTTTCATTCACTTGTCAAATTGTGTATATCTGCCTACAGCACTGTGTACAGAAAAAGTTAACTTATTTTTGGTGGTGTTTAAAATTGGTTTAGACATTTAAAAGAAAGAATATTGAAACAGAACTTCATTCCAACAAACCAGAGACAACTGGGTTTTTTGTTGGTTTTTTTTTTTGTCATTGAAACTGTCAAAAGATTTCCTATAAATAAAATGCCTGGATTTTGTCTCATGCAATGAATTGCCCAACAACAAAGGTCTGGCAAATCTCAGTTACTGTTTAGTGGGTCGTGTATTTCAACTTTATCACCATTTTCCCTCCATCTGATAAAATCATCCTCTTGATATTGATATCCCCTGGTTTGATTGTGCAGTTTTCTGGTAGATAGTCACCAAGGTTAATGTCAAGGTCACCAACAGATTTCCCCATTTTACTGGAACCACTAAAACTAAACATAGTTTCACCTTCCTCATTAAGACTCACTTCCTGTTTAGTTATTTTTTTGTTTAAATCATTACTAAATGAGTACTCTAGTTCTGCTTCATGGGTCTCCTTTGTGACCTCTTCTTCTTTAATTTCACCTTGAGATTCTTCACTTTTATTTTCAATGACATTTTCAGTTTCACCTTCGTCAAATTCTGCTGTTTTTGGTTTTTCTGATCCTCTGTTTATATCACTGGCTTTTAAAGTCTTTATTGCTTTTTTATTTGGTCCCTTATCATCCAGTTTTCTTTTCAGTTTAGCATTGTTTTGGTTAGTATTAGGACTTGTTGGTGGTTTGTAGCACTCACCATCATTATCCATTGGTTCTTGCTTTATGATGATATTTTCAAACTCCTGTTCATTTGTATCAGCTGATATATTTTCAGAGTTGTCTTGTAACCACACATTGTCAGAATTAGTGGATGTTGCCATTTGAAGTGACACTGGAATAGGAATAGTGTCGCTATTTTTCTGAATTGTACCAGTACTATGCATTGTTTCAGTTGATGTCCGCACCGGAATAGTTGCCGGAGTTTTTGTAATAGTTTTATAAATTTCAGTTTGACGAGGTTGGATAGGAACTGTGCTATGTGAATTCTGCTGAACTTTTAATACACTTTGAAGCTGTGGGCATTGTTGACTAACTTGATAAAAATACTGAACCTCACCTGTATTTGAGTGCGGCTGATTTTGTAAAGGTATACCATGACTTGGGCTAACTAGCTGGAGGATTGCTTTAGTTTGGGATTTGACTACATAGGTATTAACTATGCCAGGTGGGGGATCAAGAAGCTTACATATTTCAAGTTGATGTTTGGCCATGAATAATTGTTTCCTTCGAACCATGTAGCCTTTGATCTGTAGATTGTCAAGACATGATTGGACTAGGGCTTGAGTTGTAAAGTACCCATTTAAACCAGCTGAATTCATTATTTTACAAAATTTTCTTTGAAGCTGGTTACGCCCAATGACTTGATTGCTAAACAGCATATCTTTCTTAGCTCTCAGAAAGAAACAATTATCACTGCCCTCTACATTTTTAATCATTTCCAGATAGTATTTCAATATGTTATAGAATGTCCGTGGGTTATTTTCATCACAGTAATGACGCAGTTTAGTTGTGGTATTGGGTGCAAGAAGTGCTAAATTGTGACAACAAGTGCCGTGATTATATACTTCTAAGTCACTGGCAAAGTTTGAGTCCATTTCAACATATTTTCCTAATTCATTTTCTCCAAAAAGGAATGTATCGGGTTTAATTATTCTCAAACCAGTTGACGAAGCAATTCCAAATATTTTGACAATATAAAAGAACACTGTGTCGCTTATAACTTCAGCTGAATTGCAGCCGAATACCCCAATGTCCCAAAGATGTTCCTCCTCTTTATGTGTTATCCCAACTGCTTGCACATTCCTTTTAGAAACACCTATATCAGCCAAGAACTTAAGTTTTTTCTTCAGTGCTTCATTATATTTAGGAAACTGGTAACTATTTTTCACAAAAATGATTGGTTTTGTCTTTTGACTTGCACAGTAAGTCTTTAAATATCGCTGCAGTCCAAAAAGAACTCCACGTAAGGTCTCCTGTGTATAGTTTTCACCTTCCTTATTCTTGCATTCAGTGACAAACCTTGATAGATTGTCATCCATGACCTCACTTCTTTGCCTGCATAACTCATAAAAACAAGAGAAGATAGGCTGACCAGGGTTTTCTTCTATTCTTTCATTATTCCAAGTACTCCAACTTTGTAGGGCCCATTGTGTTGACTTTCTTGTATGAAACTTATCAATTAAGTCTAAAACTTCTTTGTCCTTAGAATGCACTTGTACACAAGGCATATGAGTACCAGAATCAGCCTCAAACACAGAAAATGTAGAGTTATCTTCTGCTGGAAAGTTACAATCATCCTTTCCTGTTGAGGTACATGGTCCGTTGCTTGAATCATCCTCCATTGTTAATATCAGATATTTGTACTGTAAATAGATAATAGAAAAGCATTTCAATGAACAGATTGATAACACCAACAATATTGAATACTTTGTAGGTAATATTAGTATGTTTGATCATAAAATTAAATTGACAGTGCAAACTTGTTAATAAACCTTCTTAAGCAAAGAATTTTAAAAAGTATACAGTCATGTATTATACATTTTGTAGTTCTATACAGTAGTTTCATGTGTATGATTCTTAAAAGAACTGTCAAATTAAGGCTAATCAGAATGTTGCTCCATAAACTTTTACTTTAAACAACATCATTCTGTTCCTTTGGTGGTCACTTTTAAAAATTGCTAAAAGAATTTAATTCCATGCAAAACTCTGGTTGCAATGGCAACCAAAAGAAAAAACTTAAAATATCTTCTTAAAGAGCTAGAGCTTAGATATTAAAGGGACTCCACTGAGGTTTTTTGACATGATGGGACTGAAAATATTTTTTACAGATAAATGTTCCATTTGATGTAGGTTTAGACCACTAATCCTTCTGCAAAATTTCAGATCATTCGCGCACTTCGTTTTTCCAGAATAATTACTCAAATCGTTAAAAAAAATGACCAAAAATGAAAAGCGTTTAAACACTTTTCACTCAAATCGGGCTTAGAAAAGCATAAAAATACGATTTTCAATTTCTTTCAAAGTATATTTCTTAACTAACTTTGCATATATTTCTGTTTAAAGTGCCCCAGCTCATTTATGTAAGAAATTCAAATATTATGTTTTTAAGCTTTTAAACCTCAGTGGAGTCCCAGTGGAGTAAGCATGAAATATCTTCTAGTGGGTGTCTACCAAATTTGTTCAAATAAAAGCCCTGGGGTCAAAATTGGCCCTGCCCGGGGTGGGTCATTGATTTTCCTTACATGTATATAATTGTAGTAAAAACAAAAACAAAATATTTTAAAAATCCCAAATTAACAAGTGTTCTGACTCAGGTGAGCAATTTAGAGCCATCATGGCCCTCTTGTTATTATTGTAAGTTATTTTCACTATAATATATGCTGTAGTAAATTTTTCAGTCAGTTAATTTACTTAAAAGATATTTCTTATTTGCATTGCTCAGACTTTATAATGTTGTTTTTTATGTATTTCTAATTAATTTTATTTATTACTTTATCTTCAATTATTTTATATTGAATAATTCAATTAACTAACCTACGCCAAAAGTTTTAGTTTTCCTACACTGTACATAACACTTAACTTGTTGAATATAATATTAGTATTATGCTCGCCAGAGGCTCGCATAATATGAAAAATAATTTAATTCATTCCGTTTTGAATAGACTATCATTCAATATCCTCTATTTGCTAAATAATGATATTCACAGGTATATTCAGCCAATATACTGTACAATTTTCATTTCATACCTGTTTGGTATAATACACCAAATACGGTATTGTGAAGTGCTGTATAATTCAATTAAAGTACAATTAAAGCAGGCAATAACTTAATGGTGTTGTGGCATATATACAATACATATAGAAATTTCATTCAGGAGACACCTGTAAAATAGCCTTTATAGGTCACTCACAGCTTACAAAGACGTTATTCACAGTCAGTGAAAAAGTCTAGTCATTCAACACATAAAATTGATATTACACACTTTATAGGCTAAATAGAGCACTGTGTTACAGGCCAATAACACCAATAATTTACATACACAACGGTAACATTGTTGTATAAAAATCATTAATGCACACTAGATTTAATTTTGTCTTAACTATACTGAATAGTAAAGAAAAAATATTACTAAAATTCAAATATCTTAAAACAAAAACAATGTTACCTTATTAGATGTAATATAACTGCTGATTTTCCCTGTTTAAGCACAAAAACGTTTCTTCAAAAAATAGCAGATGATAGGTCTTCCCTCCATCTTGTATGCTCTACATAATATAAACCAATCAAAATCAAGATAAGATTTTTCTGTGAAGGGAGAATACTCAATAACATGTAATCAGAAAATGTTACAGCAGTTGTCTACCTTTACTAGTTTAACTTGTATAGTGATTTATTTAAGTAATCTGCAACCCTTATAGGATAAGAAACTTAAGAAAGTTGTGTTATTAGTTTTAACTGCATTGAATTGAAAATGCACAGACTTGCACAGATCTATATCTATATAAAGCATTTATTTACTTTACCTAACATTAGGTTGAATAATTGTCCTTGGGGCAGTGAAGTAATCTCCTATTGGACATTATTGCCAAATATTTAATGATAACAATCATTTACTGAACTTTTTGAATGAAAAATGTACTAAGGCCGGTCAGATTATATTCTAATATTGCATTCTTTCCTATTGTATACAATGTCTCCCTCCACTGTGCTCAGACAGGTAAAAATATTAACCCTGACCTATCTTTACAACTACCTGTTATAAATCTGAAATAAAGCCGTCAACAAGGGCTACCTTTACTGAATACATTTACTTTACCGGTGTAGTTGGAGTAGAAAATACATTCATGAAAAACCAAATGGGATATTAAATGCAAATTCGGCAAGTTTTGACATTTGTGAAAGTTACAGTTTTACAATTTGCACAGTGTGGGGATCGTAAAACGTTTTATGTACATGATAAGTTATCTGGGAGATATTTGCTTTTTTTGCGTTATCTATGAAGTAATTTGGGACATATAGTAAAACCATTTAAAGGTGTGTGACAAACTTGTTTAATCAAAACGAGATTTGTTTATATTTTTAACTCGATTCAAATACCTGTGGAGGTCAGGGTAAAGCAGTTAGTCAGAGTGAAAGGATTTAAATTTAGGATTGAGTAAGGGATTTTATTTAACACAAAATGGATGCAGAAGGCGAAATACCACCCATTCAAAATGGGGATGCACCAGAAAGTGACCAACCTGAGCAAGGTATTAGTCCTTTTATATATTATATAATATATTATAACTATACTTGGGTTAGTATCATAAAATTAGCAATAAATGTATGCATAAATATCTACTTAATAACAGATTTGCAGGTTAAAGCAGTGTAAAATAATATAACAAGTTATAATAATATCTGATATTGTCATGAATTAGTATTGATTTTTTGTGTATAAAAACTGAAACATTTAATATTAGACAACTAAATACAAAGTGTATATAAGTGTGTATATGTGTGTATGTATATATAATTAACATACATATGAAAGAATGTACATGTTTGTTATGAGGTTTTAATGTTACCTGGAATTTGCTAGCTGTTTACATATAAATGGTTTCATAGCAGAGTAAACTATAGAGTAGTAATTACCTAGAAAACATTCTCTTCAACAGAGAGTGATGAGAGACTGGAGTTAATCATAAGATGAAAGAAGTAATAGGTTGATATGGGCGCCATATAATAAGTTCAGGGAGGTTTATTCGCAAAATTCTTAGTAAAGTCTTAGGCCCTTAACTGATGCACCCATCAAGTATGAAAGAGTAGATTTAATCCTGTCAATACCTGAAACAAATGTCAAGGTTTTTTTTTAATCCTCACCATGCTAAATATCGGCAATGAACTTGTCCCTTTTTCAATCAAGACAAAATGATTCATTATTTTTAGGGAAATTTTAAAATATGAATTAACAGAATTGTTAACAATGTAGATCTGTACTGGTTGCATGACTATATGCAGTACAAATAATTCCTGGCAGGGTTAATTGAGTATATCGGTCATTTTTCAGCAACATAATTATTTTTGTTAACAGTATTTATCTATATTTCCACAAGCAATTGCCAACTTCTCCTCCTCCAAAAAAAAAAATTGAATTTGCTTTCAAGGACTTATGGCATTAGTCATACATTGTACCAATATCTAAAGTTTCTGTCTGGATGTTACAGGGTTATGACACTGAATTGTGTCACGATTGATCAAGCTAATCGTCCATGAAATTTTATAATGGATCAGAAATTTAAACTTAATTGCTTTACAACCATTATGGTGATTTAATATTTTGTGCTTTTTGCCCGGATATGATTATGATGAAATTCACAAAATAAAGCTTTTTGTAGTCTATGTCTGCTGGTCAAAAAGACAACAAGAATTTTGCTTAAAATAGACATTTTAATGGTTTTATAACAATAAAATTATATCCATAAAATGGGTCAAAATGTCATCGTAAAATTAGTCAGTCTAGTCTGTGTAATATAAGCTTGTGAATCAAACTTCTACTCAAAAAGTTGCCTTGACTAAATGATGCAAAAAAGTGAAATGATTTATTGACAACATTAATATTATTTCTAATTTTACTTATATATTTATTCAAAAACAATGAAAATTTTATTCGCTTTAATTCTCTTTTTTAAACAAGCTTAAGTGTAGCACCTTTGTGTAATCTTTTTAGAAAAGTTAAAAAGATTTTAAAGTATTTTTGATTTATAAAGATCAAGCCTTCATACAATAAAGGAATTTATAATCAATATACCAAGTACCTGTATAACACTGTAAGGAAATGGCGTGCTTTATGTCATATCAGCATTTTGCTATATATGGTTACCCATGCTCAATATTAAAATCACTTAAAACTAGTTATAATGGGCAGTATGCTAAATCATCGGGGTTAAGTTTATGTTTCAAAGAGATGATGGTGCACTATTTGCAATATTCAGTATAAATTAAAGTAATTAAAGTATATATACATGAACTTCCAGGTGTTTGAAAATAAGATACTGTTCATGCAACATGGGTCCACCCATGAAAGGAATTTAAGTTTTGTGATAACATGGTCTCCATTTATGGCATGGTTTGCTTTCTTCACATCACACTATGATGTCTTCACTCTTAGCCTGCTTAAGCAGCCACTCCAAATCTGCCATGCAACCAGTGCAGACCAAGATTGGCTAGCATATTCATGCCTTCTGATTCATGGTCTGCACTGTTTGCTTTTCAGTCTGTATTAATGTTGAAACTTCCCTAATAATGATGAATGGTTTTGTCCAGATTAAAAAAATGGACAAGTCCAATTAGATATTTAGCATGGTTAGGCTTATTTCCTTCTCTGTCATGCTTAAAACTTGAATAGCAGTATGTTCATTATAAAGTTAAAAGATTAAGATTAAAGGACCCTGATTTATAGACCAGACAGTCCTCCTTATAGAAATACTGTGTTCATTATTAACTTTCAAGCAAAGATCATGAACCTGCATTCATAAAGTACTCTGTGACCAGGTGGTAAAGGCACCTTGTATTTCAGTCCAATTTGCCTGGTTCTGTTTTAGGTATATATGAGGTGGCTTGCTTATAGTATACAAAGGTCATCTGATGATTTAAACATGTGCCTACAGTATTTTGGTATGTCCATCTTCAACAATAATTACAAAACTGGGATATTGTCATGTGACCTTCACAGTCTTGGTGCAATGTAAACACATCAAATAAAAATGCCTCCTTATTACTTAAACCAAGTGTCAGGTATTCCAGAAAAGTACAGTTCAGTCAAATACATAGTCATCAAATGTATTCATGAAGCCAATCTTGTAATTTTGTTAAAAAACATAGTTTCAAGTTAAAACATTGATTTTGCATTGTGGATTGTTTGACAGATTTGAAAATGTCAAATTTTAAGTTCAGTAAGTAAATAATAATTTTGATCATTTGATAAAATGGCAAACCATGTCTGCCAGTTTAACTGCAAAAACTAAATCATGGCTCATTATGCAAAATTATTTTAGTTACATGTCTGATGTAGATTGATTGTTTTAAATGTACTTGGCTATTTTGATACTAGTTTGGTAAATTACCAATAAAATGACCCATTCAAAATGATTATTATCTGAAAACAACCAAAAATAGCTTACAAGTTATATACAAAATACATGCTATCTTGTCTCGAGATATTTATGTTTCATTGAAAGACTTCAGATATCTTCAATTAATTCTTTCGTTAAAGCCTAGCTTAATACAAAACTGCACCCATTGAAATCTTTACTTCCCATGGGCATTTTGTTATAACGTATTGTTGACATTTTGAGGTTTTTCATTTTTCATATGTTTGCATTCATTTTAAAAGGTTAATAACACAAGAAACCTGATATGATTGAGTAAAAACCTTGAAGTTTAGCAGGTGATTCATGGTGAACAGATAGAGTGAAAATCTTTCAGCTTGACAAACATAATGATAGTGTAATCACCTGACAATTATGCATAGATAACTTTTATTAAAAGTACAAAATGACAGGTTCATATTATTAATGAGGGGCAATTTTTGTTTTTATAGGGACATTTAATTAACCTTTATGTAGTCTACTGAATTTGTGTAATGAACTGGTCCTCCTTTTTATTATCAATGCAAGGTATATCAACAATGTATGCCAATAATAGTATCGAACCTGGTCAAACTGCATCAAGTGGCAGGCCGGCCTGGCTTAAGGCATTTAGTCAGTATAATCTCACCACTAACATTTCGAGAGTTTAATCAAGATGACAACTTGGTTAAACTGCAGATGACTGGTAGGTTTTTTAGGACAGTTAATCATTGTTTATGAAAAAATTTGAAAATGGCAGAAGATATTTTGATTAAATTTTTTTATCAATGTTGGCATTTCTACTTGAGTTTTTATCTCACAAGTTGAATACAAAAGGCTCATTATTCAATGAGGTCTAACAATTGAGTTATTTAAGAAAGTTCAATTAAGAAATTAGTCAAGCATATTTGAGAGCATTTAATAGAAAGAAAGTTTTGTTGATACTGTAGGTTGAATTACTTTAAGTCAGCCCTGGTTAAGACTGCTGTTTGTTACTTGTATCAGTTATTTGCATTATATTCCACATGTCTTACAACTTCTCCTCATGCTTGAAGAAAATCTAGAGTAGAAAATTAATTGCCCTACATAAAAGTATTTTCTTCGAACAAATTAACATACACAATAAATTGCAGATTATTCTGGACTTAAAATGCTGACCCTTCCTGGCATTGACTGAGTTTTATAAATCCGTTTTTAGTTGGGAGTTTGAATTAATGCTGAAGAATTTTTAATTTTAGTTACTATTGAAGGTATAAACAGTTACAAAACTATCATCATCTTTGACTATATAATTTAAAGAAAACTTTTTGAATCATTTGCAGTACAGATGGTGCTAGCTTAGATTAGTAGCTAAAAGAGGTGCAAAAATGTAAATAAACTAAGGATTTTTGTTATATAAAACCCCACCCTAGTCTGGTTTCTGTTCCTATGTCTTTAAGAGCCAATTCAATCAAATATTGTCAATATTAACTATACAAAATAATACATTACCGAAGTGTGTACAAAGTTGATAAAACTGTTTTGTATGATTTGAAGTCATTTGGGTTTATCTTTTTATATGCTGTCACTATCAGATAGTCAAGGTTCAGGTATTTTTTGTATAAAATACCTCAACAATATACATGACATTATATACTACCTCCATGATTTATGTATTTTATAGTCTATATATGTCTATATATATAATACAGTACAAGACAAGACAGTGTGACATGTTGTTTACTAATATACACATAAAAGTAGAAAGTTAGGTGGTTTATCGCAGGTATTGTAAAGTTTAATGAAAGCTAAATGATAAACCAGACTTCAAATATTATGATAAACAAGATATAATAATATTGTACAAGTTGTTTAGATAATATTATAGATAATATTTTACTGCAACTTTTAGTATAAAAGACTATATCAAAATATTATTACCACACTGGCCTTTTTGCTGGCTAGGTGTAATTGTATTTAAATTTAAATAGCAAACAGGATATAATGAAGAAATAATTTGGTTAAAGACAAGTTTTTATATAAGAACTGAAGTTACCCCTGTGTATATTTGTCACCCTATTATTTGTACATCATTGGTGTGCCATTAAACACAACTCAAGGGGAGAAATGGTTATGGTGTCTGTCTCTCTATTCGTTTGAACTCAGTACTGGGTCAAAATCATGTTCCCTCTTATGATACCAGTTCTGGGTCACTACCATGTTCCCTTCTTATGGTACAAGTACTGTGTCATAACCATGTTCCCTCTTATGGTACCTGAGTACTGGGTCACAACCATGTTCCCTCTTATGGTACCAGTACTGTGTCACAACCATGTTCCCCTCTTATGGTACCAGTACTGTGTCACAACCATGTTCCCTTTTTATGATACCAGTACTGTGTCACAACCATGTTTCCTCTTATGGTACCAGTACTGTATCACAACCATGTTCCCTCTTATGGTACCAGTACTGGATCACAACCATGTTCCCTCTTATGATACCAGTACTGTGTCACAACCATGTTCCCTCATATGATACCAGTACTGTGTCACAACCATGTTCCATCTTATGATACCAATACTGTGTCACAACCATGTTCCCTTCTTATGATACCAGTACTGTGTCACAACCATGTTCCCTCTTATGATACCAGTACTGTGTCACAACCATGTTCCCTCTTATGGTACCAGTACTGGATCACAACCATGTTCCCTCTTATGGTCACAACCATGTTCCCTCTTATGATAACAGTACTGTGTCACAACCATGTTCCCTCTTACGATACCAGTACTGGTTGAAGTTCTAGAAATCAGGCTTGATGGAGAGTGAAAGCTTGAATTCTTTATAAGCAAGCAAAGTATTAAACACAACCAAAGATACAGACAAATAAGAAGGGCTTTGCTGATAGAAAATATCTGTATTTATTACTTATTTAAGTTACAAGATTTTTACCTGTATAATCAGCTTGTTACAGGTTTGCACAGGTTTAAAGACACAGCTATTTCTATATTAAGAATGAACTAATGATATGCAACTTGAATAAAACATTCATTATTTTGTAATTTATCAATGCTTGTACCACAAAACTGATTCATTGGTTAGAAAACTAAAACCATAACTTTAAACTGAGACTATAACCATATAAAAATGGTGACTAGAAACAGAGATAAATTTTGTTTCTAAAAGATGTTAATCTAACAAAAAAATTTCAGTCACAAGTGTACCTAGCTGTTGAGGTTTGAACCTTTTATAATCAGCACTTATTGATATAATATCTAAGGTATTTACCATGTTTCAAGGTTCTTTTCTTTGTTTGAATAAGATTGTATGCAAATATTACAATATTGATAAAATCAACCATTCAGTCTCAGTAATTTATTGTAAATATTTCATTTACTATGCTACTTTGCATGATCAAAAGTATGTATTAACCCAACGAAAACATTTTCACAAGTATTTTATCCTTTAGGTTTTGATTAGTTATAGATAAAATGACAAAATGGATTTGGTGTTTTAAAGGTAAAATTGAAAAATAAGGATGTTTTCATGCAGCCGTTTGCATGGGGTTAAGTGTTTAAATCTAATGTATCACTTATCCATCAATAATTTAAATATTACATAGATCTGTGATGAATGAGGAATGAAGTGCACATGTGCAAAATTTACTTTGAGCCTTGAAGCAGCATTTAAGATTACAAACCCATATGCCTTCAAAGGACTTTTGGGATTGTTGCAGAATATGGTTCTGCAGTTCTACTGACAAAGCTTACATTTGCATTATAGTTTTCCTTTGTGTTAATGAAGGGTTTTATAATAGATACTTAAGTCCTATGTGAACTCTTTCAATAAGTGTGAAACCCTCCTTGGCGTATTTTCTCGTATTTTCTCTTATTTTTAGCTCGACTATTCGATAAGAATAAGTAGAGCTATTGTAGTCACCCGAGCGTCGGCGTCGGCGTAACCACTTATGTTAAAGTTTTTGTAATAGTTCAAATATTTTCAAAGTCCATTGACATATGGCTTTGAAACTTTGCACACTTGTTCACCATCATGACCCCAACCTGTAGACAGGAGGAGGTAACTCTATCAAGCATTTTGACAGAATTATGACCCTTTTTCAACTTAGAATTTATGTTAAAGTTTTTGTAATAGTTCAAATATTTTCAAAGTCCATTGACATATGGCTTTGAAACTTTGCACACTTGTTCACCATCATGACCCCAACCTGTAGACAGGAGGAGGTAACTCTATCAAGCATTTTGACAGAATTATGCCCCTTTTTCAACTTAGAATTTATGTTAAAGTTTTTGTAACACCTCTAATATTTTCAAAGTCCATTGACATATGGCTTTGAAACTTTGCACACTTGTTCACCATCATGACCCCCACCTGTAGACAGGAGGAGGTAACTGTATCAAGCATTTTGACAGAATTATGCCCCTTTTTCGACTTAGAATTTACGTTAAAGTTTTTGTAATAGTTCAAATATTTTCAAAGTCCATTGACATATGGCTTTGAAACTTTGCACACTTGTTCACCATCATGACCCCCACCTGTAGACAGGAGGAAGTAACTGTATCAAGCATTTTGACAGAATTATGCCCCTTTTTCGACTTAGAATTTACGTTAAAGTTTTTGTAATAGTTCAAATATTTTCAAAGTCCATTGACATATGGCTTTGAAACTTTGCACACTTGTTCACCATCATGACACCAACCTGTAGACAGGAGGAGGTAACTGTATCAAGCATTTTGACAGAATTATGCCCCTTTTTCGACTTAGAATTTACGTTAAAGTTTTTTGTAATACCTCAAATATTTTCAAAGTCCATTGACATATGGCTTTGAAACTTTGCATACTTGTTCACCATCATGTCACCAACCTGTAGACAGGAGGAAGTAACTGTATCAAGCATTTTGACAGAATTATGCCCCTTTTTCGACTTAGAATTTACGTTAAAGTTTTTGTAATAGTTCAAATATTTTCAAAGTCCATTGACATATGGCTTTGAAACTTTGCACACTTGTTCACCATCATGACACCAACCTGTAGACAGGAGGAGGTAACTGTATCAAGCATTTTGACAGAATTATGCCCCTTTTTCGACTTAGAATTTACGTTAAAGTTTTTTGTAATACCTCAAATATTTTCAAAGTCCATTGACATATGGCTTTGAAACTTTGCATACTTGTTCACCATCATGTCACCAACCTGTAAACAGGAGTAGGTAACTCTATCAAGCATTATTTTTTACTATCAAGCACTAGAATAGTCGAGCGTTGCTGTCCTACCGACAGCTCTTGTTCGGATTATTCTACAGCCCCTGTCTTTATGATGCAGACTTATTATTTCCAGACAATACTAATTCTGTCCAGCCTTGACCTAATATTGTACCATAATTATTTTCACAGACCTGATATTTCTGTTCCAAGATCAGATTTAAGACAACAAATACAAACTATTCACATGTTAGTGTCCCACATGGTTATAGGGTACATGATTTTCTGACAAGATTAATATGTCTACTATGGTCAAAGTTAACCTTACCTTAATGAAAACCAATGTATGATGCCTAGATAATCTGGTTTTTTGTGTGGTGTTTTTTTTTCATAACAGGGAAGGGTGGGGGTGTGAGATTTTATGATTCAGGAGTTTAACAGAGGCCCTGCTGTATAATAATATTTCCTATACCTTTTGCAGGATAGAATATTATGAATATTTCATGTGCATCAATGTTTATATTCATGCCTTTGAAGTGTGACTTAAGTGACAGTATGTTATGGTATTATGACATTAAGGTTCTAGCTGTTAAGCATTCAGATGTCTCATATGATTGCATTTTTGTAACATTCAGAGATTTTTCCGTCAAAAAGGAGTATCAGGTTCTGCACTGAGCAGTTAGGTATGTACATTGAACTTTGGAAGACTGAGTAAAAATCCCATGTTTTAAGGGTATTGGGAGTGAAATAATATTTATAAAAGTAGTCCAGGTGATGGCCTCAGACTGGTTGAAAGTTCATTTTGTAAGTTCTATTGGTATTTGATGCATGACATTTTAAAAGATATTTTTTTATATTTTGGTTAGGTTTTGTTTCTACATACCGTCAGCTTAGTGCAATAACTGGTTAACTCCTATTAAATTTAGAAGGACTTAACCCGTTACTGCACAAAGATGATGATACATTGTTGTGGAGACTTTCCAGCTTTACTGATGAAATATGACATCCACTGTCTTGTAAGTAGGTGTGATATTTATTTGGTAATAAGCAGAGACACCCTGAGTAGAACCACTGACCCTCCCACAATCTAGCTGGATTTGAATGGTTTATCTATGGACACATTTTACTTAACTATTATATTACACAGTGAAAAAAAAATACTTTGGGATTAAATTTCAGTTTAATTTATACAATTTCATTTACTACACTTAACTAATTTTCACAGTGAACTAATAATGAGTTTCTTAATAACAGCCCAGAATTTGCTTTTTAAACTCAATATACACTTGAAGCATTAAATTTCATCTTAAAGCAAGCATATTTTGAAGTTTCTATAGAAATCATGACTTTTTTTCTCTTTTGCATTAGGTTACACTATTGCATGCCTGAATTTTATTTACTAGCAACACAAAGTTTGATTTGTATTATAGGCACTCTTTCTTATGTGTGCTTAATTGCATTAAAAACAAGTTAAAACCCTAGATAGATTTCAATTTTACAAAAAATAACACCAGTTTGTGTGTTTTACTTGTTTTTTTTGTTTTGTTAATACTAGTTTAAATTACTTGATACAAAAAAGCTGTTCTTTGTAGGAAACATATGATATTTTAGTCATGTACACTGATTTTTGTAAATGGTTTTATCCCAGCTTTAATATATATTTTATAAAGCTGATGTTTTGTTGACTGTATACAAGACTAGTTTTATCTTGTGACCACATCTGACTCAAATTTGATAAAAGTAAAATGACTCAGTAGCTAGTTATCAAACTTCAATGCAAGTAAACTTTCAAAATGAAGTGACCTAATTTAACTTATAAATTTTAGTGAATTAAATGAGACTATGTTTCTTGTGCTCCTTATAAGTGGATTCTGATAAAACTGTTTGAAATGCCGTCCAAAGTTCTTGTCTTAATATAAGTATTTTTTAGAAAAAAAAAAATATTTTTGTGAACATTATTTAAAACCAGTAATGTAACACTACTAGATGTATTATTGAATTACTTTCATCAGAATTATTTTTACTCAGTCTTCCTTATCAAGCATGCATTTTAGGTTGAAATTTAATATTTATTTTGTTCTTTTTTTGCATTATTTTGTTTTCAGTTTAAGTTAGATAGTTTTAAAAAGCATGAAATTTAGCTCACAATTAATGATATTGACTTTTTACTTCACACAGATTATGTTTGATTCTTATTTTCAGAACTGTTTATCACATCAACTTAGTGATTGAAAAAGATTACAATTTATCAGCACGGGCAAATCATGTTGCTGACCTGTCAGATAATCAGCACATACACTGTCCAATCATGTTGCTGAATTGTCAGATAATCAGCACATACACTGTCCAATCATGTTGCTGAATTGTCAGATAATCAGCACATACACTGTCCAATCATGTTGCTGAATTGTCATATAATCAGCACATACACTGTCCAATCATGTTGCTGAATTGTCAGATAATCAGCACATACACTGTCCAATCATGTTGCTGACCTGTCATATAATCAGCATATACACTGTCCAATCATGTTGCTGAATTGTTCTATAATCAGCACATACACTGTCCAATCATGTTGCTGACCTGTCATATAATCAGCATATACACTGTCCAATCATGTTGCTGACCTGTCATATAATCAGCATATACACTGTCCAATCATGTTGCTGAATTGTCAGATAATCAGCACATACACTGTCCAATCATGTTGCTGACCTGTCATATAATCAGCATATACACTGTCCAATCATGTTGCTGAATTGTCAGATAATCAGCACATACACTGTCCAATCATGTTGCTGATCTGTCATATAATCAGCATATACACTGTCCAATCATGTTGCTGAATTGTTCTATAATCAGCACATACACTGTCCAATCATGTTGCTGACCTGTCAGATAATCAGCACATATACTGTCCAATCATGTTGCTGAATTGTTCTATAATCAGCACATACACTGTCCAATCATGTTGCTGAATTGTCAGATAATCAGCACATACACTGTCCAATCATGTTGCTGAATTGTTATATAATCAGCATATACACTGTCCAATCATGTTGCTGAATTGTCAGATAATCAGCACATACACTGTCCAATCATGTTGCTGAATTGTCAGATAATCAGCACATACACTGTCCAATCATGTTGCTGAATTGTCAGATAATCAGCACATACACTGTCCAATCATGTTGCTGACCTGTCATATAATCAGCACATTCACTGTCCAATCATGTTGCTGAATTGTCAGATAATCAGCACATACACTGTCCAATCATGTTGCTGACCTGTCATATAATCAGCACATACACTGTCCAATCATGTTGCTGAATTGTTATATAATCAGCATATACACTGTCCAATCATGTTGCTGACCTGTCATATAATCAGCACATACACTGTCCAATCATGTTGCTGAATTGTTATAGCGTCAGCATATACACTGTCCAATCATGTTGCTGAATTGTTATAGCGTCAGCACATACACTGTCCAATCAAGTTGCTGAATTGTTATAGCGTCAGCATATACACTGTCCAATCAAGTTGCTGAATTGTTTTAGCGTCAGCATATACACTGTCCAATCAAGTTGCTGAATTGTTTTAGCGTCAGCATATACACTGTCCAATCAAGTTGCTGAATTGTTATAGCGTCAGCACTGTCCAATCAAGTTGCTGAATTGTTATAGCGTCAGCACTGTCCAATCAAGTTGCTGAATTGTTTTAGCGTCAGCATATACACCGTCCAATCAAGTTGCTGAATTGTTATAGCGTCAGCACTGTCCAATCAAGTTGTTGAGTCATGTTCTCACTTATCAGCACTATAATAAACACCATAGATTTTCACATAGGTAGATTCACATAGATTTCTTTTATCAGTTCATAGACTGAGACTTATTGGTCAACAATATTTTGAAATTATGAGCATTTTAATTTGCATCAGCTACACTTTATCAACAAATTGTCTTGATTTTTTCACCAAAAATTTGCCTTATTTGAGCAGTGCTGAAATTTTATTAGCATTTTATACATTTTTATTTTTGCATGCTGGACAAGAGGAAAATTATTAATATATTGTATATTGTTTATTTGTTGATGAATTTGTTTTTCTTTATGTTTTGCTGACATTGCTTTTATAGTAAAGAATTTAAAACAGGTAATTTTATTTTTTGGAATGTTTATTAACTAACAGTTACAGTTTATAGGCCATGTCACATTCAAGATGTATTTTTTAGTAAAAATTTGGAACATATCCTAATCTAAGTTTTTGTAAATCATTTCCCCTGTAAGAGTTCTGAATTTGTTAAATACATCATATATAAAATCAATTTAAAATGTGACAGAGATATCAGCTTTAAAGAACAGATAAACCTGCATTCCTATTTAAATAAGGCAGAAAGGGTAATCTCCCTTAGCCAAATTATTTCCTAGGTATGTATAATATTATAGGAAAAATATAAAAATTTCAGCTGAATATGTTTTAACAATTTTTTTTATTCTTCTTTATAGATATACTTTGATTGCTACATTTCAATTTGGATTTAAATTCTAACATGATTTTTACATATTCTAACATATTTTTGTTTACCTACAACAGATGGGTTGCTGAGCCAGGATCAGGAAGAGCTGTCTGAACGAGTCGCTCACCTAGAGAAACGTGTGCGTGAACAAGAAAATGAGATTGTATGCCTCAAAGGTGCACTGGCCGATGTTACCCGGCGTCTTGGACAGATGGAGACTCTTTCAAAATGTAAGATAAATATGTTTTGTTTGAAATTTCAAATATGTGAAATATTACATGTTTTTAACCTTTTCCTATCTCATTATTATCATTCTTTGCTTAATTTGTGTAATAGACTTGTTGTTCTTCTAAATGATAGCATTTATTGTTAAAACAATCTCAGGAGTTTTCAAGTTAGGATAGAAAATTAGATAGAATTTAGTCAGAAAACATACCTACATGTATACCGGCATGCCTTGTTTTAGGCCAGCTGTTCTAACCTAAAGTACTAAAAGTTGATATTTCTAAAAGAAACTCTCAGTATGATTTTGTGTATATTAACTCACTTTAGCAAGTTTACTTCTTTACAAAGAATCGATTTCTGACAGAAATACAAGTTGAAAAGAAATTGTTCAACCTAATTTTTTTTTTAAATTTTAGCTAAGTAAACATTTCTTTTAAAAAAGTTATGTTTGTTATTTTATCTACCAGCACAAAACAGTATTTTGCCATCTAGACCATTTAAAACACCAGCCCCTAGGAGAACAGAAAGACCAAAATCACAGGTGATAGAAAGCTCAAACTTTACACCTCGTTCCAGCGCTCCTAATTCAGCCAGACAGACACCCAGGGGAGCATCAGCGAATACAATGAAAAAATGGGGATCAACAGAAGGTACAAAGTTAATATTTTACAGTATAATTAGGAATAAATTCCTCAAATATACTTATCAATTTTAAATGCATATTTTAACTCGTTCCATGCTAAATATTTTAAATGTTCTTGTCCATCTTTCAGTCTCAGCTAAACCATTTTGAAGTGAAATTTTCAAAATATCATGAGTGAATAGTGAACAATGCAGACCATGATCATATGGTACAGATATGCAGACTGAACATGGTCAGCACTGGTTTGTTGTATGGGCAGGCTAACAATTAATACATAATTATAGCTATTAAGTGTTGTAATATGACAACTGGGAAGGGTGTAATAAACTAAAATTTCTAAATGAAAACAGTCCATAAAATATATTTAGTGTTGAATCCATTTCATAATAAGAGACATTTTTTTGCTTAATTATGTAGTTCTAACAAGTTGGGCATCAAATGTTGTCTTGGTTAGGTTCTGGTTATTTAAATGGATCCAAAACATAAAAAAGAAACACCATGTAGCAGTTCTACTTAATATTATTCTTTAGATAAAAACACCTGTTATATCACATCACATATGTTTACACATAAGTCATGTCCATTCCACTTGGTAAACTGAACTCCACTCCAATACTCCAATAAATTACAAGGTGAGTTACAAGGTGACCAGTGTATGGCACTGTCCACAATAATAACAAACACCTGCAAAACTCTCAATCGCCTCTTCACACTGTGACTATCAGTAAAACTCAATACATTTGTACAATCAATCCATTTTACAATACACCAAACTTATGAAACATGTAAACCAAAATAAAACAACCAGAAGATGTAAAACATATCTACCCTCCAAAAACTTAAACTAAACTCAGCTTAGGCGGAAACGATGCCTCGACCAATGAAAATCAAGAATTAAAAATAAAACAATTAAGAATGAGGCTAAAAACTAATATATTTACCAAACACAGAATAACCCTGATAAAACTCGAACCTGTCACATAAAATTATGAGCTTGTATGTCAGTATCAAACAACAGGTTGAGCAGGCAATGGTAGAGTCATGCAAGACTTCTGCTGATAAACATGGCTTTATACTGATGACAAAATGACTGTACTGTTGCCCAACAGGAAAAGTGATCCAGTTATTGCTACAATACTATAGAACCAATATTTTAATACATAACTTTTGAGTTAAATATTAATTCTGAATTTCAGATACTCAGAAAACACCTAGACCACATAGTAGCTCACAACTTACCCAGTCCAAGTAAGTAGTTTTTACATACAACAGCCCTTAATAAACTAGTTGGTGATATAAATTTATATTCATATTCATGTGCGTGAACAAAACATATGTTGATGTGCATGCAACATGCATGCTTTAATAGTACAATGAAATCAAATATTGTTTGTTTCATTTTTTTACACAGTTCAAGTCATAAACCTTGTAAATCTTAATTTTAAGAGAATTGAAACCAGTCTGTGAATAGAGCTCTATGATTGGGTAATTTGAAATTGTGCATACCGGTAGCATAGAAAGGACAAATCAGTTTCAAGCACTTCTGACTGGTTCCAAATCTCAAGTTTTATATAGGATTTGTTTAGTGAATTTAACTTGAAATTAGAATGACCATTGGCGATGATATAAATCTACCAAATTATTATTATCTAACTGTTATAATCAATATTATAATTTTCATTCATATTTACAGTCATTTTTTGTTGTCATTTTCATCATAGTTATAAAAAAGGAGAAATGTTAACATAGGATGAAGGCCTGTAAGGTTATTACGTTGTTGTAACAGCACTAAAAACATGTTCACCAGTATAAGTCATTGTTGTCCTGTACAGTTTTGTTGTATCAACCTATATATACATTATACAGTTACGTTGTTGATGAAATGTAATATTTACTATAATTGTCAAACAAGAAAAAAACCAGACATGTTTAATTTTGGACATCACATTTCCTTTTTTGTAATTAAAAAAGGTGAGCTTTTAATTGCAAGTTTGACTGTTAGCCTTGTATTTCTATATATGTATGTAATCTATGCTTAATCAGGGTCAATCTGCCTGTTAAGGCACTAAATGCAGCTTTCACTGTAGAGTATGGACTTGGACATGTCACCAGTCATGCCCTTAAAGAGTTGATTTTGAAGCTCAAACCTCTGTGTAAATTCCACAGCATATTATCCACTCTACAGCAGCCAATGTGCACCTAAACATAAATAAATAATTAAATAGTGTCAATAATGAAGGAGGGTAGACCTGAAATGAGCTGTTTGTGCCAGAAAAGTGTGCTGCCATTGAAGCCACCTGTTTGTACTAGGTGCTCACGCACCCTTGTACCTTTCCTTGTCATCCCTGCCGCAATTTTAGGGCCACTCCAGTCAGGACTTGAAGCTTAACTCCACAGCGACGAAGGGGTAGTTTGGTCTCCGATATCTACCCTATACATACAAAAATAATGTTCACATCTTAAACAGTCAATGTGTTATTGGTGAAAAATTCAGCCAAACTGCAAATCTTCTGCCAATGCCCTGTGCCTTCTCTACAATGTACCAAAGGGAAGAGATCTGAGACACAACTATCATTTATGTATTGTAATGATATCAAGGGAGGTAACTTCTTTTTCAGTAAATTATCTACTCCTACAGAGTTACCTTCCAATAGAGTGTTTTAAAATGTGACAGCAAAGAAGGTTGAAGGTTATATAAGAAGTTACACTGTTTTTATGAAAACACTTGACTATGGAAAAAAAAGAAACATGGCTTATGTTGTTGTTGTTGTTTTTGTTATAAAATTATGACCTGCAGAAAAAGGTAAATACATGCAAATGCAAAAAATGTGCTTTAGAAAAAGATAAACCTTCTCCTTGAAGTTTGGAAAGTGAAACGAAAAATCACCAAGAAAAAAAATCTATATCTACATGAAAGACGTCTAGTTACTGAATACAATAGGCTTTTTCAAAAGTCTTACAACAGTCATTGCTCTACAGGTTGAAAAAAAGTAAAAAACAAAATTGTTGCAAATTGCCACACACCTACTCAATGAGTACTGGAAAATATTTTACTAGAAATATATTCACTCTTTAAATTATGTTAGACTGGAAGAATGAATGATATGCAGTGTGCTGAATTGAATTGGGAATACAGAAAACAGATACATTTAATTAGAAACTGACAGTTGGACATTTGACAGTGTGAATTATTTATTCATCAATTAGAAAATGTTGATTATTAAATTACTTATTTTCTTATTTTGTCAGTTATATAATTATATTGACTTATGATGCCCAATAATGGCTGCCACTTTTGTCAAGGGAGCTAAATATTGTAAAAATGCGGAACTATCCAGAACCTGAGATCTTAGCTCAATATATTGCTTATTTTGTAATGTTTTTATTGAAATCACTTATAAATTAACACTCCACTAATCTAATTTCAAATTTAGACTTGTTAATTACACCAATTTAGGGGAGTATAAGACAGTATTGTTTATTAAAGTATGTGGTAGGACAGATGCTGCCCTAAAAAGCACTGCCTGTATTGGTAATTGATTTTCTATAGTGTGTTTATTGGAAACAGGTATCAATAGGATGAATAATTGATAGAATATTGAAAATACCACTTACAATTAACAAGTGTATTATCGTTTTGCATATCTGATAGACCTGAAATTATCTTGAAAGATTGGAAATTTTATAATGCATGTCATATTAGTGATGTATTTGCACTTGTGGGATATTTATATTTGTAATGATCTACTGATTGGGAAGATAGATGGCAGAATGTTTGTCTGTTGGCAAAAATAAAGTCAGAGTCAACACAGTAGTTACATATAAAAGAATATCGGATTGATATTTAGGATTTAGTTCTACATACATATGTTAATCATAATATTTATTTCGATAGCCCTTTCTGTAGCAAGTTAATCTGGTTATATGATAATTATTATATTATTAAATATATACTGTGTATGTACTTACTACAAAATTAATTAAAATGCATCATTACATAGACATATTTGATATAACTAAAAATAATGCTCTATTACCATATTTATCCATGTACATTTAATAGCTTACTTTGATTTAAGGCCTTTCCTTCCTTATGATGGGTATAAGTAGATTGCTTTAATTTTTAAGGGGTATTCATCTGTAAAGCTCATTAGAGCTTACATTAATCTGTCTCTATATTACATACTGAAATTGAGCTCTTTTAATTACTACACAAAATATCAATGCTTATGGTCATGCTTTCCTTTTATTATATAATATTACCTGTGGGTTTTTTTCGCAACATCTTTTGGATAATAAATATATCATTGATTAATAGGATGTTGAGACAAGAAATCATTATAAAACAGGATAAATACTACAGGATGCATATGCTGTTCACGTAGTGTGACAGGTTCATATCACATGATATGATCACATGATCAAAAATATTTAAAAATAGCCTCAAGGGCTTTTCTCACATGCACCAGTGTTACAATTACATCTCTTCGCATGAGGAAACAAAGTACAGTTGTAATTACTAATTGATGGAGTAGTGTCAGTGAACAGTTACAGTTTACATGGTTACAAGTGGTATATTTACATACAATACAAGTGAACTGACTAGTGACCATCATTGATTAACTGTGGAATGTGACGTCTATAATCACATTTATAACTGTCGTCTGCTGCAGGTGATTCTGTGTCTGCTTGCTGACCGTCTGCTGAACTGACCATCTGCTTACAAAGTTGAATTTTGCCAAGGAATAAAATTTCAACTTATAAATAAATTCTTGAGAAGTTTTTCAAAAGTTAGCGATAACTTTTTTTTGGGAGGTATTCTGCTGTACTATATTATAGATTTGGATAAAAGATGCCTAGAAATAAGCAGTAAGTGTACATGTTTCCTGAATTACATTTATACAGCTGTTATATAAGAACCATTATTCAATGAGAATGTATATATTATATGTAACAAATGTAATTGATTTGCATGTACAAAGTAACAAACTGTTGTTTTACACATGTGAATCTTCTTTTTCACCAATACACAGCTGTGGTGGAGGTTTCTTATAAAAATGAATCATTTCTGTAGTAATGATTTTGGCATGTACAATATATAAATACCATGTGAAATAGCTGAGGCAGTTGAAAAAGTTCAGGAGTTTAAACCCAGAAGTCTATGTTTTTGTCTATGTCTATGTTAACCATTTGTCACTCACAGCTATATAGTATTATCATTATATGAATAAGTAACAAAGATAGATTAGTTTTGCATCAAGTAATATATTTTGATAGGTAAATATCATATCATTGTGTTCTTTTATCATATAGTTGCAAAAATAACTGATTTTGACAAGAAAGGCGTATCATTCGCAAAAAAAATCATACATTGAACAATAAAATCATTGTATATCTTTAAAGTATGAGGTTAAGTGAAATTTGTTTGACCTTTTAATTGACCTTATAACATATGATTAAACAGGATATGAGTTTGTTGATTTGGGTGTATATTTGTATTTAACTGGTTTTAATCAATTTTCTCTAAATAAAACACACAGAGGTCAAAACTAAAAACTTAAGGTAAAACAAGAAGTTGATGTTGTTTTACCTTGCCTTGCTGATTATTTTAGTTAGCAGCCTTTTATCATTGATGACTGTCTCTAACTCTGTTGTACTTTTATTTATTTATTATCCCCCGCCGAAAAGGCGGCGGGGGATATAGAAATAGTCTCCGTCCGTCCGACCTTCCGTCCGTCCGTCCTTCCGTCCGTCCGTCCCTCCGCCCGCCATTTTGTCCGGAGCATATCTCTAAAAGTATTCGAGTTATCAACTTGAAACTTCATAGGTGGATAGACCTCATTGAGGAGTGCAGTGCACAAGAATGATAACTCTACCTTGCATGATTTTTGAGTTATTGCCCTTTGTTATTTTTCAAAATTGATTTTTGTCCAGAGCATAACTCCAAAAGCCTATGAGATATCAACATGAAACTTCATAGGTGCATAGATCTCACTCAGGAGGTGTGCAGTGCACAAGAATGATAACTCTACCTTTCATAATTTTTGAGTTATTGCCCTTTGTTATTTTTCATACTTAATTTTTCACCTGAGTGGAGCATAGCTCAAAAAGTGTTTGAGATATCAACATGAAATGTCATAGGTAGATAGATCTTATTGAGGAGGAATGTTGTGCGCAAGAATGATAACTCTTCCCTATACAATTTTTGAGTTATTGCCCTTTGTTATTTTTTCATGCTATTTTGTCCAGAGCTTATCTCAAAAAGTATTTGAGGTATCAACTTGAAACTTCAAAGGTGGATGGATCTCATTGAGGAGGAGTGCAGTGCTTAAGAATGATAACTCTACCCTGCATTATTTTTGAGTTATTGCCCTTTGTTATTTTTCAAAATTAAATTTTGTCCAGAGCATAACTCAAAAGGCCTTTGAGATATCATTATGAAACTTCATAGGTGCATAGATCTAAGTCAGGAGGTGTGCAGTGCACAAGAATGATAACTTGACCTTTTATAATTTTTGAGTTATTGCCCTTTGTTATTTTTCATACTTAATTTTTCAATTCAATTTTTTTCTCAAAAAGTATTTTAGGTATCAACTTGAAACTTCATAGGTGGATAGATTTTACTGAGGAGGGATGCAGCACACAAGAATGATTACCTACCCTGCATTATTTTTCAGTTATTGCCCTTTGTTATTTTCAGCCATCAGTATTCACATAGGTTTCAAATCTGTAATCACTATAGCCATCAGTTTTCATTACCAAAAGACCTCTTAAAATGGAATTATTCTGCTCTACTACATATACATTCTTCCAATGAGCAAACACATTCGGCGGGGGATGGCCATGTTGACATGGCTCTTGTTTTACTTTTTTTTTTTTTTTTTTTTTTTTTTTTTTTGTTAAAACAAGTTTGTTTGCCTTATCAGTAGCAATATTACATAAATGAAATTGTATATTCAAAATTTTAATAATGTGTGAATATAAGTGAATAGAATCAAGTATTAATTTAAAAATCACCAAAGAGAATCTGGCATTGAAGTTTGATCTTTATGTAAATAAAAAAAACAGTTGTAACCTGAGTCCGCCGCATGGTAATTAAAGAAAAAAAATAGCCTGGAAAAAATAAACCTACTTTGAAGTTTTATAAAAGTTCTGGTTCATAATTTTCTCTAATCAACTAATGCAGACAGTCTGTATATCAGTGTGTGTCTGGTTTAGCCACTAATTATTCATTCCTGAAAAATGCCATGGCAATATCAAATATGTCAATAAACACCATTGGTTCCCTGATACTAGATGTAGATTTGCAATAACAGCAGTGAAGTATGACGAAATTAGGTCTCTCAGGAACTTAAATATACCATCAATTATACATGCAATACGAGGGCAACAGCACTATACTTCAAAACAAATATAAACTTTCGATTGTTTCTACCTGATGATCATTTTATTGTTGATGTGTGTACCAACCATGACATTCTCTACTGAAGGTTAGAAAATAAAAAAAACAAAAGCCTTTTATGTGCAACATGCTTTTAAATGTACATTTCCAGACACAGAAAAACATCAAACAGGCAATAGAAATCAAAAGTAACATAAAGTAACATTTTTATATCTAATCTGTCATTGGTATTGGCATCAGTGACATAGAACTTAATTTTAATAGGTTTGTTTGAAACTTCATTTTTCACTAGCCACTGAAGATAATTTCACTGGAACCTGCATAAACACTTCAGGTCTTTCCTTATTCAATTTTTTATGGGATATTAACAAAATTATTCTGCTTTTTGAGTGAAAAATTCTGGCATGGTTTACTGAGCATTAAGAGAATATTACTAAGAATACTAAGGCATACTATTCCAGTTAAAACTCAGAAAGTTCTTTTTAAATTTACAATAATGATTTTCTGTTTCATCCAATAGATCATTTGTCATTTTTAAATTGCTTCTTTGCCCTGAACTATAAAGAAATAGATTATAGCACACCTTTTAAGTTTTGTATGTAATATTCATAAGTCTTTTTGTGCCTTTTATCAATGGTATTTTAGCTGAGAGAATATTCTGAACAAGGTTAAAGTAGATTTGCTTTGAATTCATATATGTATAGTCAACCTTTAGAAGGCTTATAGAACGGATAATTTCTCTATGTCTTTTTAGAAATCTATGTGATAAATTCAAAATTTTGTTTGGCATTTAAATACAAAAATGAGTGCAGAGCAGAATATTCAACCTATGAATGAGACAAAAATTGAGAGTGAAAACATGAATAAGGAAAGTTCAAATACTGGTTTCTCAAAGGAAGACAGTAATAAAATGATGGATGAAAACATTGTTAAAGAAACAAAGGATGTAGAAGAAGACGCAAACCCTCAAACAGATCTTGCTGAATCTGATAGTGGACGTCTTTTTCCTGTGAAAGATGAAGCAGCAAGTCAAAATGTTGAGGTAATTGATGTTAAACCAAATGAAGAAGATGTAGAACCAAAAGATGAAAGTGTAACTACTGAAAAACTGAATGAGGCTGTAACAAGTGAAAATCTTGTTTCTGCAGGAGTTGAAGCAGCAAGTCAAGATGTTGAGGTAATTGTTGTTGAAACAAATGACAAGGATGTAGAACCAAAAGATGAAAGTTTTGCTACTGAGAAAGTGAATGAGGATGTAATAGAGGAATCTAATAGTGGTCGTCTTGTTTCTGAAGCAACTAGTAAAAATGTTGAGGAATTTGATGTTGAAACAAATGACAAGGATGTAGAACCAAAGGATGAAAGTGTTACTACTGAAAAACTGAATGAGGCTGTAACAAGCGAAACTCTTTTTTCTGCAGAAGATGAAGCAGCAAGTCAAAATGTTGAGGTTGTTGAAACAAATGACAAGGGTGTAGAACCAAAAGATGAAAGTGTTACTACTGAAAAAGTGAATGAAGATGTAACAGATGAAACAGTGGAGAATTTACAAGTTGATTCAACTGCTGGAACTGTAAGAGCGGAAACAATGGCTAAAGAAAATGCTAATGAAATAGATGATGTAGAACAGGATAAATCAGATGAAAAAAGTGTAGAAATCATTGATGTTGAAAATAATGCTTCCTCTGGAGAGATTGTTGAAGATGTTTTTAATGTAACAAAGGAGAAAGATACAGTTGATGTTGAAGAATTGGGAGAAATAAATGGAAATAACCAGAACAAATCTGATGAAGATGTGGTTGATAATTCAAAAGCACAGATGGATAGCAGTGAATGTAAAGAAGTTGGTGAAATAATGATTACTGGAAATGAAGGACTTGGAAGTAACAGTTTAGGGGAAGAAATAAAAAAGTCAAAGGTAACCAATGATGAGAAAATTAAATCTGATGATAAAAAGACAGCTACTATAACTGGTGAGAAGGTAGAGCAGACTTATAGTGAAAATAAAGATACGGAAATTGAAACATCTAATGAAATTTCTGAAATAACTAGTCAGAATAAGGAAAATGATACCAATGATCAAGATAAGCTCTCGGAAGAATTTAAATCTCAAAAACAGGATGGAGGTATTACAAAAGATGGTGAAAATAAAGAGGAGACCAAAAAAGCGAGCTCACATAAGAGGGGCAAAGAGAATTTGGCTAATGATAATGCAGAAAATATTGGGAAAATGTCACAATTAGAAAAAGAAATAAAAGAACTTGCCATTAAGGAAGGTGTTCATGGTAGAGATGATGCAAAAGCATCAAAACAAAGAAAAAATAACAAGAATAGAGGTATATTTGTTGACTTGCAGAAAGAAATTAAGGGAGTGTATGAAAATAAACACAAGAGAGAAAAAGTGTAGGTTGATGCACTGTTTGTTGTACTTCTGTTAGATCATTAGAATTATTATAATAACTCTTAAAATGTTTCATGTGACAAGGAATTATTATTGTCATTTTGAGCAGGAAGTTTCTGAGGTATTATTTTATTGTCTACTGTTGATTATTTTCAGTTCTTTATTGTTATCCTTGAATTTGGGAAACTTTGTTTGTTTGTTTGTATTAATCTGCTATTAAGTATGAATAGGAAACTGACAAAAAATAATTGTCATTTTGACTACAGTTTAGGAAGGGGCTTTACTGAAGATTTTGTGTTTGATATTAGTACAATATAAATATGAACAGAAAAAATTTCTCAATATTCATCTTGTTCTTATTGGAAATTTGTAGAAAGAATAATTTATGATTTTGAAAGAGTATACCTCATAAGTACATTGTTATTAAAGGAAAAAGACTGAAAGGTATATTCTGTTATAATCAGTGTATAGCTTAGAGACACTCTAATTCATCTTAACAATCATAAATATATTATTTATATCAAATTACAAATTTGTGTATTGTAACATTTAACATGTAATTAAGCTATTCAAGTATGTACCAGAATCTATCCCATTAATAAAAGCTGCATGTATAATAAATTAATTGATGGCTCATAGCAACACTTTCATTACATATTTGTTTACTTCATGCTGTTACCATAGTGATGTGTTGAGTCCTCTATACATGAGCCGCGTCACAACAAAACCAACATAGTGCGTTTGCGACCAGCATGAATCCAGACCAGCCTGCGCATCCGCGCAGACGCAGTCTGATCAGAATCCATGCTGTTCGCTATCAGTTTCTCTACTTGCGATAGAGTTGGTAAGCGAACAGTATGGATCCTGATCAGACTGCGAGGATGCGCAGGCTGGTCTGGATCCATGCTGGTCGCAAACGCACTATGTTGGTTTTGTCATGACGCGGCTCATATGTGTTTTTTTCTGTCATTATTGTATCTTTGTTTAAATATTTTTCTTTCTAGACGTCTTAGTACTTCCCATGGCAGCTTGCATATAAAACCGGCAAAAGGGTAAAAGGCTGGCAGTGCTATCTGTCCATATACTAACATAACCTGATAGGACAACTTAATGACACCAGCAGACATGACTATTTATTATTTATCATAATTTATATTTGCAGTAAATCATCCGCCTTGTGTGTAATATATGAAAATACGCAGAAAATAGAAGAAATTGTCTAAGAAATTGTCAGAAATTTTTATGTTTTTGATGCTTTCTTAAAAGAAAATGTAGAATTTCTTCAATTGGATGAGCTTTGACATAAAGCTGAGTACAGTCAAACCCACAAATAAAGACCAGAAAACTGAGTCATTGTTGATAGGTTGTCTCTCAAAATATGTATGTTTAAGTACACTTATGAAAACTGTCGAACTTGGAAAGGGTTGGGCCATGTAGAGATATGTTTTATATGAATATGGTCTTTGTTTTAAAGTGGTCTTTATATAAGGTTTGACTTTACTGTACAGTTTTATATTGTTCAGATGAAATAGGGAAATATTGGGTGTAAGGAACATGGTGTCATATAGTTTATCTTATACTCTTCAGCTATCAACTGTTAACTGTACTTACTGTTTGAAAGTCCACGCTAACTGTCTTGGATAGCACATAGATGTTTGCTTCAAAGTTAAACATACTCAAGTCTTCCAGAGTTCATGCATCTTATGCAAAATATACATTTACTTTATAACCAGATTTATAGTTTGCTTGGCTTATGAAGCTAGGCTGCTAAATGCTTATGGACATCATGATATGCCTAAGTCACCCCTAAAAAGTCAAGTGTTAGGAAAAATATACAGTATTCAATTTTACCAAAGTCTTCAATGTTGGGTTCTTTTACAAATATTGGCTTCTCATACAAATATTGGCTTCTTTATTGTTGTATTTTCATTTCTGAATTCTTTTAAAATAGCAATCATAGGACAGAGCATAGCCTTTCAGCAGGGTAGATCTATTTTAGTGGATCCTAAATATATTTAAGACAGAGACCTAGCAAAAGTGCCAAGCAATTTCTTTATTAAAATCTGAAATGCATAAGATACTTGAAAGAAAAGATATAGAAGTGGAAAACTCTATAAAAGATAGTAGTGTATATTCTATATTTATCTACATATTATTTCATTATTTCTGTTACTCTATGAGCTATTTAGTGCTAGTTTTCTTAGAAGCCCCTCCCAAATGCCCTTTGACCTTAATTACCATGTTAACAAAATAATACATATTCTAAAAAAATAATACACCTTATATTTTCTTTTTCCTTAAACATACCGTATGAAAACTTTCTGGAATTAATTCACTAAATTTTTCTCATAGATAATGTAGACATTTCAAATTTTATGGTAACTTATCAATAGAAATTCCTAATACTAGTAATAAATGGCCTCAGGATGGTTTAGGTTGCCTATATTTAATACTTTGCCCCTTCTCCAATGTTGGTTCAAATCTCACAAGGGAAGTTGAATTCTTGCACGAGAGGACAGTTTCCACATAGCTTACAATGGATTTTTGTTATATAGGAAGATTTCCAAACTTTCAGAATTTACAATAATAATTTAACCTTAGAGTGACAACAATATCAACATACCTGTGCCGCTTGCACAAAGTCAGATTAGCCCGCTGTTTAAAAAAAAAAACTTTTTCAGTATCACACAGTTGTAAAATTAAGAATTGTAAAGTTTATACTGAGATTCTGTTTCTCTAATATGTTAACAAGTCTTACATGCCTAAATGTCTAACAGATACTATAAATTGAGGAGGGTAAGGTCAGTGGATATCCGATGGGTACCACCTATAAATCCCTAGTAAGTGTGAGGCATGCTTAAACTTACCTTCAAATTTAACTGCCTACTGTAATTCAACTTTTTTTTCTCCTCCATTTTGAAATTTGGTTCCAGGTCTTAGGGTGGTAACAAATTCATTAGGTTGCTTTGCCTTCCCTTTATTGAAATTGAATTATTTGAATGATGCATTTTGGTTTTAGGCTTGAAATGGAAGTGAACAATTCTTATGGTTCAATTTTTTTCTGCTTTTTTGTTTTTATTTAGATTTATGCTTAGGTCATGGTCAATTGGATGTTGTATTTCAAGAATAATTTTGCATAATTTTTCTGGTAGAAAGTTTTGCATGCTTTCTTTAAAGAATATTGTGATTTTGTATCATAACATAAAAGGTTATTTGTCAGAAGTTATGCAAGATAACACAAGAAATTGATGCATTTTTATATATAAACAGCCTTGCATGTGTAGAGATACAAATACAAAAAAGAAAAAGTTATCTGATTGCAGAAATCATCTTCAAAAGTAGGAACACAGATCAAAGGGCATGTCCTTGTCTTTTGTGGACTTTGATTGCATGCTACAGTATTCAATGATATAATTCTATTTACAATCTCCTGTATTTTCCTTTTATTTTCTCATTATATATTTAACTTAAGGTTTTTAGGCCACCACTTGCATTTTTGTCTGTTATGTTTAACAGTTTATTCTTGTTATGATTGTCTTATAAACATTAAATTCAAGAATTACATTAATTTTACCTGAAAATATAATCATATGATAATGGCCTATTCAATTATCATATCCACTTTACTTCACTATACTTATTTTAGTTTAAATTCTTTAGTGCATTATCATTTCTTTCCTTTACTTTAATATATTTAGCTATCTCTCTACATATATTTGATGTGGTAAGCAAAGTGATGCCAGTTGCATGCAAAATATATCAATTTCCAATTCCTTCAACTTATTTCAAACCTTTTCTGAACAAAAATGTATACAGTACATTTCTATTGTCATGAAATTTATCGATCGAGAAAACTGAAATTATATATACCTCATTAAAAAAGGGATGCTTTTTTATTTATTTCTGAATCAATGTATGATCATTATATGATAATATGCATTCAACCGGCATGTCTTCTGGCTTGTCACAGAATCTATTATACTTCAGATGTTATAAAATGCACTATATATTTGTAATTTATCAATTTTAATCATGCAACTGCATGCTCAGTATACATTTCATGAATTTAATTCTTTTCATTTAAACATGCAAAAATTATGTATACTCTTTTAATTACTCTATTTGTATTAGTATTTATCATAATATAATATAGAAAAACTGATGATTTATTTAGACATTTTATGATGTTTCTGTCTTGATTAAAATCATTGTTTTTCTTTTATTTCAGTATTAAGGAGCCTACATGGAACAATGGTATGTTTAAATGTTTGTCAAATAAAAAGAAACTTAATGAAACTTGTGATGAAATAAGTTTACCTGCAGTAATTTATTACACGAACATGATTATTATTTAGTGAAACAACTGTTTTTTGGCTTCATCAGCATCTGTAACTAACTTGCCCCTCTTCTTCTGTGAAAAATATGTGGAAACTACCTATTAAAGCTTACCCATAGAAGGTTTGATGACCAAGGTGGGTATGCTTGATAAGGGAGTGATGGAGATGTGGTAGTGGTTAAAGTGTCTGCCTCTCAACCCAGGTCTGTCTCTTGGTTTGAGCCCTACTTTGGTCATGATCCTGTTTTCTCATATTGCACAAGTACTGGTTTATAGTTACAGGAACCAGTACTGGTTTATAGTTACAGGAACCAGTACTGGTTTATACTTCCAGGAACCAGTACTGGTTTATAGTTCCAGGAACCAGTATTGGTTTATAGTTACAGGAACCAGTACTGGTTTATAGTTCCAGGAAGCAGTACTGGTTTATATTTCCAGGAACCAGTACTTGTTAATAGGTCCAGGAAACAGTACTGGTATATAGTTCCAGGAACCGGTACTGGTTTATAGTTCCAGGAACCAGTACTGGTTTATAATTCAAGAAATCAGACTCAAAAGTGGTTTTAGATAAAATTTAAACTTTCATCAATTCAAGATAAAATGTTTAAACTAATCAAGGTAGCATTTGAGATTTTCTTCTTCAAATTGAAGCTAAAAAGTCACTATACATAACCATAACAATAGCTGTTTAACTTAAAACTCAATCCAGAAAAATGAATATTTGTTTAAATTTATTAAATTTTTTCATTGCATAACATGATTATTCATAAAATAACAATATAATAAATATTCCTTATTTAATACATTAAATGTTCTGTTTCAGCCGATGGGTATCTTCGGATGCACTTGAAGGGTCGTCCAGTGTGTTTGTTTGCCCCGGATGAAGGGTATGAAGATTATAATGTCAAGGCAGAACAAGATTGTCCTAATGCAACACTTAAGCTAGAATGGGTGTATCCTTTATTTACGTTGTAACACTTCACAGCTTACAAAAAATCATCTGGTGAAGTTCAGCACAGCTACAATGTACAAATTCTTATGTCCTAAGTTCAACTACATGTAGACTAAAAAAACTGATGTCGTAGCAGATTCTGAAATACTATTTCAGTCTTTTGTTTTGGTGTAAAATTAGTAAATCTCTCCTTGCACTTTTCCAACTAAAATTACTAAATATTTTCAAATAAGATTTTAATCTCAAGTCCTGTTTATAGAACCTATTTTTAAACATCTAACCCTTTATACCACGCTAGATATCTTAAAAGGACTTGTCCATTTTTCAGTCTAGACAAAACCTTTATTATTTTTAGGGAATAGTCTTATGGGATGCTTGATTTCCCAATGTATTGTAAACAACAGCTGTTATAAATGAAATGTAATACAATCAAAATGTATGCATCAGATCTAACTTACTTTTCAGTTTTGTAATGCTTTCTTATTGAACAATGAAATGAAAGTATGATTCTTTCTATAGACAATGCTGTTACATTATAGTGCTTTAAAAACCACAAATATTGTGTTATAGATAGGGAGATAGGGATAAAATGGATGCTTATAAATGATAAATGTTGATATTGAAGTGTAATGTACAGTCAGCAAATTACAATGATATTGATTGGAGCATTATGATATAATAGCACACAGAAATATTTATGATCCAAATGAAAAGTTAATAAATATCACCAGAGTGTTTTGTTAAATGTTACTTTTACATGCAAACTAGGAGAGTTAATGGTCTAAAAACACAAATAGCTGTAAAAGGTGTAATTATATAGTTAGGTTTCATATTTTTAATGGTAGATATTTTCCATGGATATTCCCATGTGTTCTGTAAATGTTGGTTTATACAGAATTTATTTTAGTTTGATTGTGTAAGAAACTTACTATAAGCTTAAAGACACACTTCCGAATCTATTCCTGGAACCAACTAGTTCTGAGTAATGAATGTAAAGTTTCTTGCTCAAAGAAACAACAGCTGACTGATCCTGACAGGGTTTGAACCCATGCAACTAGCAATTCTTAGAATACTGGTCTCATGTACTAGTATATGATAGAAAATGCCGTCTTGATTTTTACTGGGATATGAAAGTGTCACATGTATAAATAATTTTCCTTAACAGTATAATTAGGTATGGATACAGGGGGCGAGACTGTAGGTCTAACCTATACACTGTTGCCACGGGAGAAATTTGTTACTTTAGTGCTGCTATTGTTGTTCTACACAACTTTGAGTCAAATTCTCAAAGATTCTACGATCAGCACACTGATGATATCAAATGGTAAATATAAGCCGCGTCACGACAAAATAAACATAGTGGGTTTGCGACCAGCATTGATCCAGACCAGCCTGCGCCTACGCGCAGTCTGATCAGGATCCATGCTGTTTGCTTACATACTCTATAACAAGTAGAGAAACTGATAGCGGACAGCATGGATCCTGATCAGACTGCGCGGATGCGCAGGCTGGTCTGGATCCATGCTGGTCGCAAACCCATTATGTTGGTTTTGTCATGACACGGCTCATTTTTAGAAATCTCTTACATGAAAATTAATGTTTTTATTAGGAATATTTTATTCCATATTAATTTAGCTCTTCTGTAATATATTTTTAAAAAAAGAAATATGTTACGATATATACTGAAATTGGCAGATTATTTGGTTTTTAGGTTTAGACCAAACAAAATAAACAAACAAAATATTGCCTAGACATTCCTTTCATGATTTTGTGTTCTGCTTACCATATGGAGCATAATATTCTATTTATCACATACCCAAGATAAAGACTTTTTAAAATGAAAAAGAATAATTTTTCACCAACGTACCTATAGTATAACCCTAACATTTAGCTTGTCTTTACACTATGTTTGAATTACAATGTATGCAAATGACGTTACTTCAAAATATATACAAGGCCATGCAATACCATTTTTTAGGGAGTTGCAAAATCAGAAATATGATAAAAATATTATGAATTTGGTCAAGTTTATTTTAATCAATATCTTGTTAATAACAAGTGACAAATTTTCAGTATTGTTAGTTAATTCTGTTCATTTAGATACATGTTTAATATTTATAAGAGATGAAGAAGTTCAGAGAATGGAATGCCATTGTATTGTTGGTCTGAATGTCAACAAGCCTGTAATGGATGTATTATCTAAGATCAAAGTTCTGATATTGATTAGCAGAAAGTCATATACTTGTACATGTAGTCATTAAAATTATGCCTAATGCTATATATACTCTGGTGACTGAGGTCAGGTCATTTTCTTGCTAGTTATCACAGTTACAACATCAATGGGTATACATGTATGTTGTTGTTAACCTATTCTGTATTATTTATTTATTGACCATCTTGTTACAGTATTGCTGTTCATCCTGACCAAGTTACTGTTGCTACAGGACAGGTAGCCGGGCATGAAAAGAAAGAAGGAAAGGTTGGTATTTTCTATGTGTCATCTTTTATCTTGTTGGTATGTCCGTCCGTCAACATGTACCAGTATATTGTATGGTCTGAAGATCTTGTGGTATATATATATGCACTGCACCTAAGTAAATTACAGAATGTCACTAAAAAAATTTATACAAATATTTAGTTGGCTAAGCGGTTGTACACATACATTGGTTTCAGTTTTTTATATTGACTCAATAAACCTAGAGTTGTGGATATTTAAGTCATAAAGTCATGTACATGTAGCTTGAAATAATGTAGTTATTATGTTTCAGAATTGTCCTTACTTTTTGTTTGTTTTCTGGTGAAAGTACACAGGTTGTTGGTTGACTAGGCATGATTAATGACGTACAAAAATATAAATGAAATTTTTTTGCACATCATGAAAAGGTATGGGTCAGCTGCCATATCTAGGGTCACTTTGAAAACAGGAAACTGGTATTTTTGTGAAGGCTTTACAAAGAAATTATTTTATCTTTAAATGTCACTTATTTTGAGATGATAATTTTTGTTTTTGCAACTCTATGTTTGGTATAAAAAAGATCATCGACACATCTGTCTTAAAGTTTATATCAGACCACAATTGTCTTAACTCTCACCAAGAATTGAACCCTCGACCTTACATACAGGAATGAATCATTGTACCATGTCTCTATAAAAGCAGGCATACTTTTTTTATGGTCACTTAAAAAAAAGCATTATTTATAAATGCACCTTAATATTTTACACCTACATTCAACTGTTAGGATAGTAGCACTAATAATAACTTGTCTAAACTACTTGACTAGAGCCAGGCCAGCCTGTACATCCATGCTATTTGACTTGACTATAATGTTGGCTTAATAATTCGAGGGTTGTTTGCAAAACTGTTGAAAGTCCTTTATTTCATATATGTTACTGCAGTTTTGCGGTCAAACCTCAAATTGTATTATCTTTTCATGTTCAAACCCCTCGAATACACAATGAATAGTTCTGAATTCAAAACATTAGACATTCACAGGGATAGAGATGACATGAAGAGATTGTTGTTAATTCGATTTTCTTTGACTAAAAGAAACTTTTTTCTGTATAAATATTTAAACTTGTTATCACATAGAGATGAAAGGTGGCAAGAATTCATCTTCTGAGATAGATGTCGTCTTTATCAATTTACTGTTTGTGAATCAATGAATAAGAAATACTAGTACAATATGAAATATGAGATACAATATTAGCATGATTTGTAATGAAAGATATGATGATGTTTTTATTATTATTATATTATAAATGTTGCATTTTGAAAATGTTTCTGCATGTTTCTGTAGCTTGTATTCCCAGACTGTAAGAAGGTAGGTGTTAGGATAGACCAAATATAACATAATAATCGGCTTCGACATAAATTTACAACTTGGTGGCAGTATCTTTTGTAAATAATTTAAAAAACTGAAAATCTTTGAGATAGAGAAACAGTTCAGTGAAAATAATACTTTTGAATTGTATTTTTATTTAATATCTGTGGCTTAGGTCAAAACTAATTGTAAAATGATACACAAAGAAAGTTTTATTATCTACATGTATCTCAAAAAGAATATTAAAATAAGTGTTTTATTCCTTTAAAACTTTTGGGAAATTCATTTGTTTGAGTTGTATGTTCCTTTTTAGTTAGTATTCTTTTTTAAAGATTTTCAGTTAAGGTAATTGGGCATCATTGTCAGCAAGTTGTAAATTCTTTATAGGGGAATACAAAGGGTCGGCAGAATATTATTTAAGAAATGATATATCCCCAACAGTGATTTTATTGCTAAATAAAATCACTGTTTCGACAAACAATGATTTTAGTTAAGTGATAAAATCACTTTTTGGGATACATTGTTTTGCTTCTAACACAACATCAACAAATAAATGGTGCTATACCTGAAATCAAGCTATATTGTGCCGTATTTGTTTCCGTACTTATTTTCAGCGTGTCACATTCTTAACTGTTACGTCACATGTTTAAATATAAATTGTCAATAAGGATTATATTGCATATTTACACACACTTTTGGCCCATATGTTCAGTAGGGAAAATGCAGGTTGTGTTAGAATTATACATAATCTTATGCTTTGGTGATGTCCGCAGTAGTTAGAATTTAAATACATTGTAATATGATAATTGAATGTGGTAATTAAATGGTAATGCCATGTCTGTATGCTTTAAATAATGTAAATTAGTCAATTAATCTTAGAATAATGCCATGTTAACTGAAGTCATAACAAAATGTGATACCAGTGTATCAAGTGGATTGGCAACCATATCTAACTTTTACCCTGCTGGAACCGAATGTGACATCATTTGCCACCAGTATTCAGCTAGGCTTGCACATCTATGAAACAGTATTTTCATATCAAAGTTACCACAGTAGAGCTTGGTCAGATTGTGCAAGCTAGCCTGTCGTTCTAGTAAGTTAAGGGTTAAAATTAAATAAAAATGATTCATGTAATTTAGATAGGGTAAACTGCTTGTGCATGACTGCATATGTGACAATTAACCTTATGTATAATAGCTTTTAAAACATGTGCTAATATGTGTAAAGGGGAAATGACATAAAGCATGTTGTAATAAGTTATGTTGGGTTACAAGAAACTGTTTTCAAGAGTTGTTTTAAGACCTTATTAAGATGGAACTGTGATAGAAATAACTTAAGTTTGTCACCTTTGTTCAAGATTAATGTACCTGCATTTTTTTTGGTCAAAATGACCTAGGAATGTTGTTGTTCTTAACTTTTGTCAATGGCAGCTTCAAGTCGAGCATTTGGGTTTTTTTCTATGATAGAAAATATGTGTATATGATTGCCAACTTAGGCGGAAATGGTGTGAGCAATTTTATTTTGATTTTTTACTATTCAGGAGTTATGGCCTCTGAATGTTGGTTTTTTATTGTTACTGTTACATACTGTTACATCATTCTTGAACTAAATGTCTACTTTTAAGATCAAGTGTTTATTTTGATGTTGTAAATGATTCTTTTAGTTATTATAATTTTTCACTGCAATGCCTCACTTCTGTTCCACACTCATTTAAGCAAACTTAAAGTTATACATTTTTGTATTATTTCTAACATTTTTCTACAGCCTCATGTGAGAGTATGGGAGGTAATCAAGTTACAGACACTACATGTGATCGGGGAAGGCGAGTTCCAGAGAGGTGTTTCCTGTGTAGCTTTCTCTATATTTGTAAGTATACATTCCAATATATGTTTTGTAGAAGAGGTCTCAATATATGTTTGTAGAAGAAGTTCTAATATGTGTTTGTAGAGAAGTCCCAATATATGTTTGTAGAAGAAATCCAAATATATGTTGTAGAAGAAGTCCCAATATATGTTTTATATACATGTATATACATATTTCTTATCTCTGTTGCAATGTTACAGGATGGTGGGCATTCACTTCTGGCAGTTGATGAGGGCAATGACCATACTATGTCCGTCTGGAACCTTCAAGGCAAAGTAAAGAAACTTGCAGAGTGTAAGGTTAGTAACATAAAGTGTCAAATAGTCTCGTGTAAAGTGTCAAATACCCGCTTGTTTTCCAGTTTTAATTTGTTACTTTCCTATATGTTAGCTTGTACCTGAATAATGCACAAATGAGATGCTGAGGTTCCCTTCTCAAATAGCTGAGGTTCCATCATCAAGGAGCTGAGATTCCCCCCTTAAGTAGTTGAGGTTCCCTCCTGAAGTAGTTGAGGTTCCCTCCTCAAGTAGTTGAGGTTCCCTCCTCAAGTAGCTGAGGTTCCCTCCTTCAAGAAAAGCTGGAATGTCAAACCATATGACATTGACAATGTCTGTATGCCTTTAAATCAAACCAAAGCAAAATAAGAACCAGTTAACTTGTTTATGAACAAGAAAATTTGAATACTGCATGTGACTGTCTGAAAAAATGTGACTGTATTGAAATTTAAGATGCTGATAATTGACACTGAATAATGTTCAGTCTGACTGCATGCTAAGCATGTTGATAATATGACCATTATCCAGCTAGAACTGAAAATGACCAGTATAAAGCCAGGCAATCATGCACACCCATGCAGTCTGACCAGACTCTATAAGGTTGGCTGAATAAATTTTCATCTTGATATCCCCAAAATTGAAAATGGATATTTTCGAATATGGACTCAGGTCAAGTCCAGTTAAGAAATGAATTAAGCAGGTTAGGGGTTTATTACTAAGACTTGTAACTGTTCATTTACCTTAATCTCAGCATATCTCTATATTTTCCAGTCATCAGGTGACCCAGTCACACAGTGTGAATTTCATCCAACTGAAGAGAACAGTATCGTCTGCTGCGGGAAATCACAGATTTCCTTCTGGACTTTCATCAAGGAAGAAAAAAAGCTGGATAAAAAGATGGGAATATTTGGGGTACAATTTCTCATGAATATTTATAGTCTTAGCAGTATGCTTGGTGTAAACACATTAATGTTTTTTCTCTTTTAAGATGTATCATTTACGGATGTCTTATTTTTACCCTCTGTCTTTAGTGGTATTGAATTCCAAATTTCAAAACTTATTTGTTTAAAAGATTGCATATCCATACAGATGACTTAATGTGTTGAAAAAGGGGAAATAGATTGACTTTGACTAAAAAAAAAATTTCAAACCATGCAAATCAGATTATGGATTGCCTTTTTCTAGATATAAGTACATTGAAATAAAACTGATTGAATCTATTGCAATGTTTAATAATCTTCATATTGAAATATTATGCAGAAATGTATCATGCATTTCTTATTCCAGAAAAATGACAAACCAAAAGTTGTCATCTGTTTCTGCTACACTCAAGATGGTGATGTTGTATCAGGAGATTCCAATGGAAATATCTTCCTCTGGGAAAAAGGTATGTTCCAAAAAAACATGCATTAAAAATATTTAACTTTCCAACAGTATTTTTTTTCTTCTTTTTTTTAAACCAAGGCAACCTTTCATATGTTAATAGTCTCTGTTTATTCCTCAATCCATCCATCTGTATTCTGCCTAACATATTTGTTCAGAACTAAACTCAAAAAGAATTTGAACTGTAAACTTCATAGGGAAATATATCTCAATGAAGAGGGATGCAGTGCACAAGAATGATAACTGTTCATGATTCTTTAGTTATTGCCCTTTGTTATTTTTCATTTTGTGCTAGACTCATTTTAGCAAACTTGAAATTATACATTTTTGTGTTATTTCTTACATTTTTCTCCAGCCTCATGTCAAAGTATGGGAGGTAATCAAGTTACAGACACTACATGGGCAGTGTTTTCTTGTATTTGAAAGTTTTTCTCCTTTGTTTTTTGAGTGTATTCAAATATTCATGCTGTATGTATTTAGGCGCGAACAAGATAAGCAAAGCAGAAACTGGTGTACATGAAGGAGGTGTGTTCAGTTTGTATACAACTAAAGATGGTAATATCTTATCTGGTGGTGGAAAGGACAGGAAAATACTGGAGTGGAGCAAAGATTTACAGAGAACTGGAAATAGTTATGAGGTATGAAAAATCCTAATATAACAGCATTAATATAGTGTCCAGGCTCAATTATTTTTAAAGAAAAGGCACAGGGGACATTTAGTTTTAAAGCTACATGCCTCCAGACGAGTCAAAATATTTCAATTAAATCAAGCTTGAGAAAAATGAACTAAGATGAAAGGAAAAGTAAAAAGTTTCAAGATATAAGTAATAATTTATATTATGTGCCATTAAAGACTGATATTCCAGTATTTACAACTATATATCTACTGTGTTACTAAAGCAGTAAGGGCTATTTATGCATAATTTTACCACTTTTTGGTAATTTACGTGTTTGTAAGTGCCATTGATAATGTGTAGATTGCTTCCTATTGGTTAATTCACAATATTACACATTCTAATACATTTTCATGAAAATTAGCATGAATCTCGAGGGGAGAAAAATGTCAGAATAAAAAGACTTTTTAAAATGAATATTGATAAAGCTCCATTCATAACTGTATATGTTTCAGGTTCCAGAGGAATTTGGAGGTGTGCGTATGATCAGTAGTGGACCAGGTAGTCTGATTATTGTTGGCACGATCAGAAACTGTATTCTACAGGCCAGCTCAGATCTGGTCTTTACACCAATGGTGGAGGTTTGTTTCATTTTCATGTTTTCAAGGCTTATTAGAGAAGGTATTCAAAAATGCTTACTGATGAAAATGAAATTTGTATGTGTGTGTTCTATGCTTAATGAGGGTCCAACCGCATGGAAAATAAAATTTTCTCGGCTGTCTGTCACAAAAAGTTTGAATCACCAGTAATTTTGAAGTGTAATAATGTTTTGCTTAGTATATATAAAGAGAGCTGATATACTCATTAACTTTTCAATAATTTGCTATATCAAGTAATATGGTTGCTATGGCAGCAGATAGATAAATAATGAAAGATGGAAAAGTATACATGATTTCCTTTAAACAGTTTATTTATGTCATCATGTTTTTTTGGGTTTTTTTACCATTAATTACTATTCCTACCTGTATCAAATCATTTCCACCATTTGGCTTTTAAACATCATTTTATGCTTATTTCAAGAATTACTATATTTGATATACAATGTAGAGATGATTATGTGTATAAATGTATGTATTTTCATTGCAAGCATTTTCATAAATGACAAGTATTCATAATGAATGATTCAAATCAAGTTATACAGAAAATCTCTCTTATCTTATAAAGTTGATAAAGTTATTACTTAATTTTGTGCAAACAAAACACAAGTACATGGATATACATTTAATGGAATCATTAGTTATTGATAATACCATAATTATGTTAATTGTTGTAGGGTCACAAGGAAGAGTTCTGGGGACTGGATACATTACCGGACACATACCAGTTTTTGACATGCGGCTCTGACAAATACATCTATATGTGGGATGCACAAGCCCACACTGCCCTGTGGAGAAAGCAAATTGCTGTAAGTTAAATTTAAGTATTATCTGATTGTTTGTTAATTGTTTGTGTATGTTTTCAAAGCAAATATATTTTTCTTTAATTAGATATATTTTTCATATTTAGAAAATACATATCTTTTATTTGAATGCAGTGTGGTATGATATTGCACACTATGGAGTTCAGATGTGCAGAAACATAATCAAGAAGTTCATAAGCCTGAATAATTAATTACAAATAGCTGAATGTCATTTATTGCTGTCTAACATGCAACCGCAATGGAAGGGAAAGAAAACATTGTTAATGTATTAACTATTCTAGAAAAATAATTGTTGATAGCTTGAGCATTTCAGCAAATATGCTGATAACAAATTTTATAAAGTGGTTATGGTTTCTGGCTTCAAATCACTTTCCTCTTACCTGTGTCAGTTTGAATCTGAGTTAAGATGTAGGATTCTTAAATGTGAGGAAACTATGTAGCTAGTTTCAACGTTGGTGTTTCTACTCAGTGGCCGGCTTGTGCATCTATAGCTGGAAAGTAGAAAAATAACCTTTACAGTGTGTGTCTCTGAAAACTAAACTGAAAACATGTTTAACATACTTCAAAATGAAAATTCAGTGTTATTTGGTAAGCATGCTGCATTATTAGTTGTAAAGATATTTGACAGGTTATATGGCCGTTTGTAATGGTTGTTTTATATAAAACCCCAGCTCATAGATTAGGGTTATATTGCATATATTATAACCATTTAATACAGCCATATAACCTGTCTCAAGCATCTTTATAGCAATTTATGATACTGAAAACTACTTATTAGTGCGAAAAAGCTGAAATTAAGTTACAAATGTGCAGTACAGTAAAGACTGCCTTAGCGACCCCCTGTATATAGCGACGTTCTGTCTTTAGTGACCATAGTTAGGTGCGCCGAACAGTATTTACTATATAAATGGTCTGTATGTAGCGACTCCCTGTCTAGTCCGTACAACGACCATGATTTAGTCACCTGTTACGGTATTTGAGCTGTGAACAGCGACTTTTGCAAGGGGAGCAAGGCTTGAACTAGGTGACGACATTGGCGAAGAAGACGCCTTCGGATCAGCGACTTTGCCTAAAACAAACTTCCAATAGATTTTGAAGTCGCCCGATTTTTATAATTTTCCGTCATACTTATTTACGCCACTAGGTCTGTTAATAATTTGTTTACCTCTCAATTACAACCAATTACCGTTAATCCGCTAATTAAGAACGCGTGTCAACATCAACAAAGTTAAATACACGCCGCAAGGCAAGAGTTCACTATGTTAATCTTTCTTATTACGTATTCATGCGATTGACGAATCAGAACGCGCGTTGTATCTACGGCAGTTTGCATTGACCAATCGGCGACACGCTAATACACTGTGGCTGTTTGTTGACAATTACACAAAATGGCGACAGATTCAATCAATTTTTGCCGATAGAATGATTAAAAACACCTGCATATACATAATTGCTGCTGTGTTTTGGCGAGTAAAGATAAACAATGCCAAACGTCTTAAAGGTGTGGTTATGTTTGAAACCTCGATTGTTAATTTTTTTCCGGAGCACTTATCTGTAGAAATTATGTGAAGATTTGTAATTTTTTTTTATTATTTTTGTTTTATTAATACATTGAACTCCGTAAAGTAAACAGGCTGATTATACAAAATTAAATGTCTCTACAGTAACATCTAATTAGTAAAATTGAAATTAAACATTTTTTTACAAACAGATTTATCAATATAAATTACATTTTAATGAATATGTAACTTTTAAATACTAATGTTATGGTGTAGTTGATAATCTTAACCAATAATACATGCACTTTTAATATTCTCTTGTTTTTTTATAAATGATATTTGATATGTTTAATATCAATAAAAATATAATTAAATCCTTAGTATGGTACTATTCTGCTTTTCAACAAAATATTGGTATGATATGTTCATATATCCGAATTATGTAGAGACTGTCCACAGTGACTCCCTGTCTATAATGACCTTTTTTTAGCTCACCTGTCACAAAGTGACAGGGTGAGCTTTTGTGATCGCTTTTCGTCCGGCGTCCCTCCGTCCGTCCGTCGTCCGTCCGTCGTCCGTCCGTAAACTTTTACTTTAAATGACATCTCCTCATAAACCACTAAGCCAATTTCATCCAAACTTCACAGGAATGTTCCTTTGGTGGTCACCATTAAAAATTGTTCAAAGAATTTAATTCCATGCAGAACTCTGGTTGCCATGGCAACCGAAAGAAAAAACTTTAAATATCTTCTTTTAAAAAAACCATAAGAGCTAGAGCTTAGATATTTGGCATTAAACATCTTCTAGTGAGTGTCTACCAAGTTTGTTCAAATAAAAGCCCAGGGGTCAAAATTGGCCCCGCCCCGGGCGGGTAATTGATTTTCCCTATATGCATATAGTAAAAACTTTCAAAATCTTCTTTTAAAGAACCCAAAGAGCTAGAGCTAAGATATTTAGCATGAAACATGTTCTAATGGGTGTCTACCAAGTTTGTTCAAATAAAAGCCCTGGGGTCAAAATTGGCCCTGCCCCGGGGGGTCATTGATTTTCCCTATATGCATATAGTAAAAACTTAAAAAATCTTCTTTTAAAGAACCAAAAGAGTTAGAGCTAAGATATTTAGCATGAAACATGTTCTAATAAGTGTCTACCAAGTTTGTTCAAATAAAAGCCCTAGGGTCAAAATTGGCCCCGCCCCGGGGGTCATTGATTTTCCCTATATGCATATTGTAAAAACTTAAAAATCTTCTTTTAAAGAACTCAAAGAGCTATGGCTAAGATATTTAGCATCAAACATGTTCTAATAGGTGTCTACCAAGTTTGTTAAAATAAAAGCCCTGGGGTCAAAATTGGCACCGCCTCGGGGGTCATTGATTTTCCTTATATGTGTATAGCAAAAACTTAAAAAATCTTCTTTGAAAAAACCCAAATAGCTAGAGTTAAGATATTAAGCATGAAACATCTTTAAGTGAGTGTCTATAAAGTTTGTTCAAATAAAAGACCTGGGATCAAAATTGGCCCCGCCCCGGGGGTCATTGATTTTCTTTATATGTGTATAGCAAAAACTTAAAATCTTCTTTGAAAAAACCCAAATAGCTAGAGTTTAGATATTAAGCATGAAACATCTTCTAGTAAGTGTCTTCAAAGTTTGTTCAAGTAAAAGCCCTGGGATCAAAACTGACCCGGCCCCAGGGGTGTCATTGTTTTTAACTATATGTGTATAGTAAAAACTTTAAAAAAATCTTTTAAAAAGCCCAATGAGCTAGAGCTTAGATGTTTAGCATGAAACATCTTCTTATGGATGTCTACCAAGTTTGTGCAAATAAAAGCCCTTGGGTTAAATTGGCCCTGCAACGTTGGGGGGGGGTTGGGGGGGCTATATACAGGTGAGGGACCTCAGGGCCATCATGGCCTTCTTGTCTTTTCTCCCATCGAAGGTCACTGTAACCAGTCTTTACTGTATTATAATCTGTTATATACAGGATGAAGCCCATTGTTGCTGTATACACCCGAATAATAAAGTAGCAGCTATAGGTACAACAAGTGGCAAGATAGTCATCCTTGACCTTGAAAACAGTGATCATGAGATTGTTGCTGTCTACACTGATGGAAAAGAGCAACATGAATGCATTCAATACTCTCCAGGTATTAGAACACTAAATTATATTGATTCTCGTAATTTGGGATTGTGTAGAATATGGGTTTGGTAGTAAAATTTTTGTATTCCCGAAAAATTGAATAGGTGCAAAAAAAGTTGTTGTTTTTTTTTATATCTGGAATTTCAAAGCTGATATTATTTACAACTAACAAGAATAATAATGTAGAATTTAAGTGAAATAGTTAACATTTTTAGATTGAGTGCAAATATTGGTAAATTTTGCTTACAATGTACCTTTTTTTTATTGCAACAATGTAAAGTACAAAGTATGGAAATAAAGTAAAACAGACATGTATATCAGATTTTTTTTATCTTAATTAAATTTTATGACCTAAGCCCAAAAATCATAGTTTGTTTACCTGAAATTTCCTTTATTTTTCATAAAGAATTAAAATTTATTTTCAGATGGAGAAATGTTGGCATCTGGTAACCGTGACAACGGTATTTACATTTATAAAGTAGAGGAAGAAGGAAGAAAGTGCCATAAAATTGGAAAATGCTCAGTATGTATAATTGTCTTTGTATGAATGATTCATTTAGGAAATAGATATCAATTTTGAGTGCATTGATGTAGAATAATGCATGGTTCGAGCCTAAATGTGCAGAAATATAATCACGAAGGCCTATCAGCCTAAGTGATTGATAACAAAGCATTTGAACGATAAACTGTGCGTTATTACACTATAGTGCAAGAAAAATTAATATCTGTTTTCATTCTCACATGCTAATAAAAAGGAAAATTGATAAGAGAATATGTTTAACTACATTGAGCATAGAAGTAATTTTCCCGACATCATTTGGTTTATTGACATCATACATTGTATATGATATCATCTGACATGTAAGCATTTGTTCTTATATTGTGTAATAATGCACTTGATTACTCTGTCAGTTTGATTGTGAAGCATGAAAGAATTAATCATAATCAGTGAAAATTTTATAACTACCAGTATATACATGTACTATTGACTTGTGCTGTTTTGAATTATTGTCTTGCGCATTGTTGGTTTTAAAAAATTTCAATCACAAAATGATAAATCGGAACAAGCAACAAAAAATCCAAGGTCTGGTAAGACAACATGGAGATGCATGCTGGCCAAGCTCTTTACTCACTGAATTGGCAACGTTTTGAAATATATATTTACTGTTAACTTTGCTTTTCTGTGCCATTTACTATTACATTACACAATTAAGCATAGTTATGGTGTAATAAGCATGGTTGCAACTATTTGATAGCCTAAGATGTGTGAAATATATATATATAAATAAACATATGTACATTGTATATTTTTTTCAACAGGGCCACAGCTCGTTTGTGACACACATTGACTGGTCTTGTAATGGGAAATATTTGAGGAGTAATTCTGGAGACTATGAGGTCCTGTATTGTAAGTTTATCTTCTTTTATTATACTTTTTACATTGGTCTGATTTTTAGCTCACCTGTCACAAATAGACAGGGTGAGCTTTTGTGATTGCTTTCTGTCCGGTGTCCGTCCGGCGTCCATCTGTCTGTAAACTTTTACTTTAAATGACATCTCCTCATAAACCACTAAGCAACCACTAAGCCAATTTCATCCAAACTTCACAGGAATGTTCCTTTGGTGGTCACCTTTAAAAATTGTTCAAAGAATTTAATTCCATGCAGAACTCTGGTTGCCATGGCAACCGAAAGAAAAAACTTTAAATATCTTCTAAAAAACCCAAAGATATTTGGTATGAAACATCTTCTAGTGAGTGTCTACCAAGTTTGTTAAAAAAAAAGCCCTTGGGTCAAAATTGGCCCCGCCCCAGGGGGTCATTGATTTTCCCTATATGCATATACATGTAGTAAAAACTTAAAAAATCTTCTTTTAAAGAACCCAAAGAGCTAGAGCTAAGATATTTAGCATGAAACATGTTCTAATGAGTGTCTACCAAGTTTGTTCAAATAAAAGCCCTGGGGTCAAAATTGGCCCTGCTGGCGGGGGGGAGATCATTGTTTTTCATTATATGTGTGTAGTAAAAACTTATCATGAAACATCTTCTAATGGGTGTCTTCCAAGTTTGTTCAAATAAAAGCCCTGGGGTTTAAACTGGCCCCGCTCCGGGGGCCTATATACAGGTGAGCGACCTCAGGGCCATCATGGCCCTCTTGTTGAATAACGTTACCACTGTAAAAGTCATGGTTACTTTCAACTTTATTGGTTATGTGCCTCTTTCTTTATTATTTTAGATGCCTGTCATAAAACTTATATTCATAAACCTGATTTTTGCTTTCAATTATTTCAATTTTTTTTGCTTTATTTTCAAGGGACAGCAAAGAACTGCAAACAGGAAACACAGAAGGATGATGTAAGGAATTTAGACTGGGCCACAAACAATTGTACTCTTTCTTTTGCATCTGTTGGTAAGATTTACAACTGCTCTCCACATTTTACAAAGTTTAGGAGTCTCACATACCCCACCTTAGCAGCAATTACACACTGTAAACTGATGGACCTTTAACACTGAGGTTTCTTATTTTCAGGGCATCTTCCAGCTACTTTGGGAAAAGGCCCTTGGCTTAAATTGGGAAAAGTTTATTGGCATTTGGATAATTGAAAAATTTTAAAATGTCGAAAAACAGCTTTATACATGACTTCCAAGATAATTCATATATGTATGAACAGACAACCTGCCACAACTTGGAAGAAAAATATCTAAATATCTTTAATATCTTTCAAAAGTTCAAAAATTTTGATTTGCATGTATATAGCAGCAGTTTGGAATATTTTTTGAAATTTGGAAAAATAGAGGTAAATTTTGAATTGGGAATGGGGCTTTTAAGTGTTGAAAATTGAGTACCGCTCAGTATGTGCAATTTACATTGTAATTTTGTTGTGATCAATACTTTCGAGGGATCACACTTTATCCACATTTTTCTATCTGTCCCTGGACTGATAGGGTGAAAATGCCCTAATTTTGTATTACTGACTTGCAATGCTTTTAATTTGGAGTAAGCTAATGGATTAAAGTACCAAACAACAAAAGTATAAAATCTTGTCAGACTATGGGCTGGCCGTAGACTGGTTGCATAGGGACTTCATCTGTGTCTCCTTGTACAGCTTAAGCATTCAAGGAACTTGTTTATATTAGTATTTGTTGAAATAGTTACACTTATAGTGCATATCCCAATTTATATCATCACTTAGTTACTTATCATAGTTACAAACTAGCTGAACTGTGTTCTTTTTATATTTACATTTATAAACAAAAATCACATTATTGGCCTTTTAACCTTTCAGGTGTTTGGCCAGATGGCGCTGATGGCACAGATATTAACAATTGTGCTGTATCACACCAAGATGATTCAAAGAGGGAGAGGCTGATTGTCAGCGCGGATGATTTTGGAAAAGTGAACTTGTACAGCTATCCTAGTATCCAACCAAGGGTAAGAATTTTACCATGATTGTGTTATCTTACTAAACTTACTGCAAAATTCCGTAGAAATTGAAAGTGTGAATTTTTTTCTTTCTTGAGAGGAAGTTGTTCACTTTGTTTACAGTAGGGTGGATGATTCTACCCTGGTACTTACTGGTATCTTACATGGAATATTAAGAGGCATGTATTCACCTGAAGTCTTCCTCTATCAGTAATGCTGGAATGTTGCCATATGTCCCTTACAAGGTTGGTTAAATAAAAACCAACATAAAATGTTACAATTAAGTAAACAACATATTAAAACAGCCATTATTGTTCATTTACAGGCGGTTGGTCACTCGTACGGTGGACACAGCAGTCATGTGACAATGGCGAAGTTCCTGTTTGATAACAGTCGCGTGATCAGTGCCGGAGGTCGGGATGCAACTGTCATGCAGTGGGAAGTTATCTACTAAATTGTGTCCAGTTATTGGCAAGATGACGATAGGTTATCGGTTAAAGTATGAAATGGTTATCGGCTAGATGTAATCTTGATGCAGAATCAAACATTGAACTTGTTAGCGCGAAGCACATTATTATATAAATATTGTTCAATCAAATAAGAGAAATCATTAACTTTTCAATATGCACATGCCTTTCTGTTTTAAGGTTATCAAGTTGTTATATTAAGGAAAGTGTTTATTTGATATGAGATTCATGTAAATGTACTTATTATTTAATAATCAATAGACAGCTAAGGACATAATTTCCTCTATTAGTCAATAAATAGCACAGCATAGCATATATACACATTGTATGTAAAACTATCTAACACCCATATAATCTTAGACTATAATAATCAGCTCGACTGTTTTTTCTTGAATAAGAAATATGGAGAATTTGTTGAAAATAATGCATTTGAACAGTAACAAATTGCATTTCATATTGATGTGTATTTTTAATGAACAGGCAATATTCATTTCTTTTGTGATTATTTCCAAAATGGTTACACAAACAGAGTGACACAGGGTACCCATTCTTTTGCTGTTTACTGCTAACAGAATTTATAACCAGGTTTTCTATCTAATAATACATGGGTGCATTATGACTATAATTTGATCATTTTTGGTAGAGTTGTGGCCCTTTGTTGTTGCTGTTTTTTTTAACAAATGAAATATTGGTGAAAATCTTGTTTTTATGACAGTTTTCTGACACTTGTTAATTTTATCCTACAAGTAAGTGGTAAAATTGTATTTAAAGTCATTTAAAGCAAAATTAGGTTTAAAGTTGTATGTGTATTTAAATACCTGTTACATTTGGTGCGCACAAAATGTGTTTAGAAGACTTCATTGTACATATAATTATACTTGTATGATAAGTAATTTTAGTAAATAAAACATTAAAATATGATTTTTTTTTATCAAAACTCCTGCTTTAAAGCTTGTATTTTTATTTTGTATTCTTTTAGTTATTGGGTAAGGCACTGTAGTAAGTACATGTAATTTTTTTTAAAAATCACTTAGTTTAGATAAGTAAAAATATTTTTGAACATTTTACTTGATCATTTAAGCTTTATTTGTTTCTGATTTTTGTTCTGTTTGTAATCTTTTCAGGCTTTTTTAATTGCTGATCATGTGACATGTTTTATTTTGTCTTGTTAGTGGCTTAAAATTTATCTATGATAAAAGCTGTGACATAAACATGTATACATGTATTATGTACTTAAAAATGAAATATTGAGAAATATTGATGAAATATAATGCATATTTTCATTTTCCATATTTTCACTGTCAAAATTTCTTTTCATTGTAAAAATTTATTTTTCACTGCAGTGAAGCATATTTTCCATAATGATATTTTCACTGGTGTCTTGCCTCCGGATTTCTTTTTTCTGAATTCAGCTAATACAAAAAAATTAAAAGTGAATACTTTCTAATCATAAGGTTAAAAAAGAGAGAAAGTATACAATAAACAGAAAATTCAAGTTTTTCTATCAATATACGATTTATTTTCATACCACTTTATGAAAAGTATTTATAGGAAAAAAAATATTGGTTATCCTCTTTATAATACCTTTATCCTTAATTGAAATACAAAATATGTTAAAGGCAGTTGAAGCCATTTTTTTATTTATGTCTGTGTTTATGACCTCAGTGCTACATGCTATATCTTTAAATTATAATTACCAGTTATATATTGTCACGTTATTTTTATGTTTCACAGTTTAAATTTATTAAGCATTTTCAGTTTATTGCATGCTTTTGGAACTTTGGAATATACAGCTTTATACTACAGTACATTTGTATATAAAATTATAATGATTTTTATCCAAAAAAATGTTGTTTGTTAAATTCTGCATTTTCAGTCTGGGTTTTTTCCTTTGACGCAACAACAGATTATTATAATTTGTTACTGTTCAAAGTTTTGAGTTATTTGCATTGATTTCTATGTATGTTAAAAAAAAATTAAAACATATATTTTTTGTCTATGATGATGAAAAACAAAGCATAATCTATATTGACAGCAAAGAATTAAACACTCTACTTTTTTTTTCTTCTTTTCAATGACTTTTATTCAATTTTTTAAATGCAGCTAGGGGAGGTAACTAGTGTTGCTTGATAAAAAAAATGTATTGATTATTTTCCCTGCATATTATGTTACACGTGCGACTTGTATAAACGAAGTGTCTAACACCAGGATTGATACCCATAGAAACATTTTACCATAAATATTTTCTCTATAGCTTTTTTTTCTTGATTTAAATATAACTACAAGGTAATTAAGGAATTTTTATCATTATTTGACCAAAAACACATGCACATATAAAATCATAGTTTATTACATTAAAATATTTTTTTGGGTGTTGTGTATTTGTAATATATATTTTTTTCTCCTACTTGCAATCAAATATACAGATGATAAAAGAACTATATTTTCTCTTAAATCGTAATCATGTTTTATTATTTTGTAATACATTATTGTTATATGTATTGTAAGTTTCTCTAGGAAATAAATTCTTTAAAAAAGGCTCGGTTGTTAGTTGTATACAGTGTTTGAATCACATGTGCTGACATGTATGTGGAAAGTTTATAACAGTGTTTTACAGTTTACCGTATGTTCCAGGTTCTATTGGGCTTCATCATATTATATTTTCATCCCTTATCTCGTCTGCTCTGGTTGCATTTGTATACACCAGCGTAAAAAGATGCCTGTCTATGCTGCTAGTACAGTGTCCGGCCAGTCCACATATCCCATGTAAAGTACAATTAATTTACGATTGGCTGGATATTGATGGGCAAAAATCTTAAATTATCAATAAACAACTCCAAAATCAAATCATGACTAAGTACTTAATAGAAATTCAATATAGTAAAAGTTGAAATATTGTATTTGTCTTTTTGATATTTTACACTCTTTATCACGAATAGCCTGCCAAAATCTTGTTTGTTTTATCAATCGTGTCTTGGTGATTAAACATTGACAATACGATAGTGACAGTATATTAAACGACTTGTAAATTATTGACCAATCATATCAAAGCATTGTTCTTTTATCGCTACGTAACGTAAGTGTTCCTGTAGTTGAGAATTCTTTTATCGTGAAAATTAAATGGAAAATTGTTTATTTTTCTTAACTTCCTGATGCATATTTTCTATATTGAGTTTAACCACTTTCTTCACGTATAATATATTTGATTTAAATGATGTCACAATAAAGAGAATCAATTATGATTTCAAATTTTTGAAGAAAAAAAAACACACTACATTTGGAATTTGTTGGGTATAGTATTTTCATTGACAAATCCTTAATTAAGTTATTTCTCGCATATGCGTAGCGTTTATTAGAAGCTGATTTTAGTCAGATTGGGGCTAGATGTTACATAACAGTACAAAAACATCAAAATCATATTAACAAAGCTTTATTAACCTCATTCGAGATCACAAGAACTAGAGATATTACACCATAAAAATCTTAAAAATGCATTTTATTATGTTACACCTTTTGCAAGAGCACCCTTGTATAAGTTTAAATAATCAAATATGATCATGGTATGCCGAATTAATAGTGTATGATGTAGTTTAACAACAAGATGTTGCGCAACTTCAATATTATGACGAAAATACTCGTCAGGGTTTGGGTTGATCTCACCTTGACAAAAGGTATGTGATTTCTTAAAAAGATTCTGAGAAAAAAAAAGATTCTGAGAAAAAAATTTCTCGCGAAAGTATTACCCATATACAAATTAGCACTGTAGACTAAAGAGCAGGTAGTTGGACTTGCTCGGACCTTACCCCTCTTCATTTAGATTTTATCTACTTGAGAAAATGTTAATTTTGACGCAGATAAGTCATACAGACACAGTTTATTTTGCGCATTTTTTCCATGTGAGTTAAATGAAATGCCTGTATCTTTGCTGATTGTTATCCTTACTGCTGTTTGGCTGTTTGGGGGCTTACCTTTTCCACAAGTATCCGAAATCTGATCTACATTTATCGCTATAAATAGCTCCTAAGAAGAACATACATTACTTTGGAGGTTCGGTCTCATTTGTCTGTAAAGTCCTAGTATTTGGTCAGGCAACTTGTTTTAAATGCGTAGCGTGGACGCATTTCCATACAACAATTTTGCGGTATAAATACATGTACATGTAAAATAAGACTTGAGATTCGTCCTTAGTGATTTCAATTTGAAATCGTAAAGTTAAATAAATATTCAATATTAAAACGACTTAAACATTTGAGTTTATTTATCACGATGTGTTAAGATAAAGAAGGATTTATTAAGACTTTTCTTATATGTACAGACAATCTTTCATGACTTTAAAACTAATAAAAGTTTATTTATACAGTTGACAAAACGTTTCAAGTATATATCTGATAAATAAATCAGCCCATCAGAAAATACAGTGAGATGCATTTTGTCTGTGGACATTTCATTTAATGAAGCGTTAGGCCTAACACAAGCATTTGGTTTAAGTTTTTTTCAAATCTCAAACCATTTAGATCGTGTAATTAAGCCCCGCTGTAAGCTTTTTATGTATCTATTGTACCCTGGAAACATTACCAGTGATAACTTTGAAATTCTAAGAGACGAGTATTTGTCTCTATGCGAATTTTCCCAAAGAGTATAACCAAAGTTATGTATTTTGAAGACGAAAGTATGCATTGCAGCCCATAGAGAGCTTTACGTGGCAAAGAAAGGTTCAAGAAATGGGCATTGCAAGAAGTGATTGCACTGCTGTTGTGAGACCCTATTCTACTACCCCATTCAAACCGTCATATATACAGGGCAAAGTCACACCAGAGTCCTAGGTAACAAAGAAATTTCTATGTCAGGTATAAATTGGTCAGAAACCGGCACAGAATGCAGTGACCAATGAAAATTTTGAGATGCCCCGCAGAGGTCTGAAAATGTTTTATAACCTTGAGACCAATACCATGTATTGTCCAGTTTAGGACCAATCTCCTCAGTGACAGTCAAAACCCAAGCAGATCATCTTTATAACACGGTGTTTTGAGAGTTTGTATTATTTGTATGGAAGAAAGTCAAATATATTGTTGTCCTGTCCGAAGTGCTGGAAAATATCACCCGGTGCACTTTACTATCTCCGTAACAAGCATGCTCCGAGAGGAAACGGCCAAGACCACTGGGTTCATGACCATAGTTCATGATGTTCAAGCGAATATCCAACTGTCCTGTCCTTTTTATGGCACCTGATTGGCCAAGGACGCAGAATCTACATTAAGCTCGATCACTTAACGAATTTCATTCAACATTACACAGTCAAATGAACGCTTTAACGTTATGATAAAATAATCATTGAGTGGCCTATTTTTTTCTCATTTGAAAATCTGTTACGAATAGCGGGCGTTATTATGTTTAAACAACTGTTTTTTGCTATTTATTTAAACAACTGGACAGCCTTGCTCAAACAACTGAAGTTCCGCCGGAACCTTTAAATGTTTTTATAGATCGAATCTTATCACTTAATACATAATTTATAAAGTAAAGATTGTTTTAATTTTGTCTTTTAAATAAAGTAAGGCTAGATGTTTAAATTAATTATATAGTACCAGTCCCGTAATACTAAAAAAGTGTGAAAGATTGCGTTTTATGAAATAAAATGTGTGGCAAAATACGAATGTTCGGGGAACAATTGAAAAAATAATGGATTGTGTACTTCTTCCTTTTTGATGGACATTGTGCAGTTAAAGAATTACATTCCACTAAACAAAACAAAACAAAATACATTTGTAATAAAAATCCCGATCGCAACCACATGCAAGTCTCAAGATTTCAGGGATGCGTGCATTGGTGCAAAATAATTACTTTTGTTTTTCTACTGTAATAACGTCAACAACATCCTTATACCAATTATATCCTTATACGGGAAGTGTATAACAAATAAATTGATCTCGTTAGTGGTCGAAAGTAATGGACTTTGATTAGATTTGTAAACCCAAAATGTAAATCGGTTAAAAAGTTAAAAGTTAAATTTAAATCCTTGTTTTTTAACTTCCGTGTACAAGAGGCGCTCGATACTGCAAATATAAACGCAATTAAAAGATTAGATTTCTTCATTGTACACCCGACTTTGCTAATGGATTATTGTGCACGTTTCTTTCCTGTATACAATATCACGACTCTAACAGTTTTATACGGTTTGCATTAACGGGAACTTTTCTCTCTTTTTTTTCTATGGAAATGTATTTTATTGAATGTTACATTGTGTTCACGGTTATTGATCGGCGTGATTAAGTTGTCACGGGCTGTTTTTTTTTCTTTAAAGGATCTCAGCTTTCATACAATAATTTATATATACGATTTACCTTTTACGAATAAAATTTATTTCGCGAGACGATTCAAGTTTGTTTGGATCGCAGCTGATAACGAAAATCGATAGACTCAAAATATGACTAAATAATACAAATACCTTCCATAATGTTGACCACTAATGTAATATTGGTGTACCCGGAACGTACTGGGGATGGACTTATTTTGCGTATTTCTAATTTACTGTTGTTAGTGTAAGCTTGTTATTCGTTGCGTTTGGAGATTAAAAAAATCACAAGACAGAAATTGAGGATAAAATATGCCAGGGACATCGGATAGTGTTAAAGTAGCTGTGAGGGTCCGACCCTTTAATCAGGTATGTTATATTGAAATTCCAAACTTGTTATAATGTGATAATACTGGTAAGTAAACGAATCATCTCTAACTTTAATCAAGTGTTATAGGTTAACTATTGGTCTATACATGTATTATAAAACCGATCAAAACTTTACATATAATGATATATATAGAATGATTGATATTTGGCGATATGATATAAGAATTATATAGAAACATTAGACCGACGACAGACATTTACGCTGAATTAACAAAGGAAATCTTAATGCGGAAATAGCAGTACTAGCCTAAAAAAGAGAAATATTTGCTATCTGATATGGACTGGTATATTTGGCCCAGTTTTATATCGACTGATGTCTTTTTTTGTTTGAATAACTTTGCAAAAACTGCTGATAAAATAATGTTCTTATCATGTTTAAAAGGTATGAGACAGTTATTGACGAATAATGATCACTGATTAATGTAAAAAATGTGCTGAACACAATTTATAGCATGATTTACATGTATAAGTGTTTATTGATGTGCTGTGCATTCTCAAAGGTTTCATTTTCTAAAGGTTTCATCATAAATAATTACCAGGTGATATAACAGGACGTCAGATCAAAGAAATGTAAAATCAATTAATATAGATCATTCCCTCTACACTCACACATAAAAAAGTCGTGCATACAAAATGTAAAGTCGGGAATGACTTTCTTTCCGCTCGTCCAGATAAAATGATTTTCTATTTTATTTGATGTGTTCTATTAAATACTGTCCAGTTTGAAGATTAAGTACACTTAAATTTTTATCTTTGATGGAAACATAAACATTATACAGATTATTACCTAGGATGTTTTAATGTTTAAGAAATATTATAATTACTTACGACTGTAACCGTATTGAAGGAGCTTATTTCCGGTCAATTTACCATTACGTATTAAAGACACATTAAGCCTTAAAATGAGTTTTTTTCTTTAGAAAGGACAACATGTGCAAATAAGAAATGATTTTGTGCTTTATATAATGCTTTAAATAATGAAGTCTAAAGCATGTTAGATGGTTATCACTTGAAGAAATACGCACAGAATGTGAAATAATTTGTCGTTAAAGTAGCAACATGTGATCGAACGTTGACTTCCATACAAAATACTTATCACTTATACACTATATACTAAATGCTATATACAAAAACATAAAAGATAGTTTCTCTATGTTGCCAGTAAGACACTATTTGGAACACGATTAGGCCACCAAAACTAAAGAGCTTTTAATAATGTCTTTTTTCCTTTTTAGGCTCTGTTGGGCCTATAAGTTCCAATTTGTATACATTTGTACGTTTTGTATTGATAATATCTATATACTGCACTGTGAATCGTTAAGAAATAGTAATTAAAGTATTTATTGTGCAGTGGCGAAACAAGACAATTATTATAAAATTATTTTAAAATACTTGATTTTATCTTTAACGATAATTTTAATGAACCACCTTCTATGATATAAACACAGAAAACACATTGGGTGGAAACTTTAGGGATAGTTTTGTTTTCTTCAGCTGGCGTTTGCACATTATCATTTAATTGTATACTGTTCATAATTCTTCGTTATCACTATTTAAAATTTCCATATTATTTCTTAAGCATTCTAAATGCTGCTCTATTCCTGGGCTTATTTGTGTATTATATATGATAAATATATGATAAAAGAGGTTTGTATTTATTGTATATATCTGTCCGAAATACGGTGCCCCTTCCCTCCCCCCTCCACACACACCTTGGTGCTTTTCTGAGACGACAAGCTTGAATCAACATGGCGTATGCATATAAATAATTTATGCTGAGAATTCGTTTAGTTACTAGCGGAAAAATATGAAAGTACTGGTACATTGTACATAATTTATGGGCACTAAAAGTCTATTACCTTGCGTTTTATTACACTAATATAAGAACAATGTATAAATAAATCTATACCCTATTTAATAAACTAATATGCATTACTGTCTGATTGCTTTTCGTGTTCACAAACACAATACTTTCTTCTATACTCCATGAAACAATTCTATCATTTACACCTCTGTATTCTAATATAAAAACACAGATTTTTGTTTTATTTGCTTTAATTTTATTACAATATCAGGCTATTTTAGTTTATTTGTTGCTTATACAATAAAATCTTAGTAATGTATAAGAATAGGGCATGTATTACCTAAGGATTGAATAGTTTTATTGGTTCGTTTAAATTAATTTCGCCGCAAGTTCTTTGGGTACAAAGCTCTTCAAATATTCTTTCTACATACCTTAAAAATCATATGACCACCACAAAGAGCTGTAAAACTTAATTATAAAAGATAGGTCTTATCACATTAAAACTCTTTGTTCTTTAATTTGTCGTCTGCAATAGTGTCAATAAAAGTCAGGTTGTTAGTTTTGTCATAAATTTTCATCACTTATATGTCAACCTTTAGACCATACAGGCGTAAAGTAGTAAATAAATTATTTTCCCCCCTTATTCGAATTACAACAAACAACTTCAAAAATAAATCGTTGTTCTCAGGTACTCTCTATTTACGTATTGATATTTTAACACTTTATTAAGTATTTAAAAGGTATTTATAAGGTTAAACTGACATAATATAAACATTATGTCACAGGGGGGCTGACGATTTATTTGTTTCTAAACTCCGGTAGATATTTTTCTACTTTGTGAAATGTATAAATAATCTTGAAGTTATCGATATTAAATTCGTTTTATGCCAAAGGTTATTATCTGTTACGAAAATAAATGTTTTATCTTTATCCTAAGCTTAAATACACGACTTATAAACATATAAGAAAATATAATAAATTACGTAATTTCTTCACATTAAGAAAGATAACATTAAGGCATCTTGCATTTTATTCGGATTAACTGCTGTACAATTATTTCAAATTATCAAAACTGGCACCTAACAACAACAAAACATTATTTGTAATGCTGTCAGTTGCAAAATTCACGTTATGATTAAAAGGACCCCATGAGCTTCATAATGAAAACTTTTTTATTTTGAGTATAAAAAAAGAATTGTAAATTATCTCATGAAATCATGTTTTATTTGTTATAATGTAATAAATTTCTTTTCATATCCACTCTTTTATAGAAATATTGACGATTGAAAAAAAAAGAAAAAAAAAGAAGATAAAAAACACAGTATTTTAGATATATTCGGTATTTTTGTTGTTGTTTTTTTTTTCAATTGACTTTGAGTTTATATTTTAGCTTTAAACTTACTTCAACCACTCTCGTGTTCGTGTCTCATAAGAGGACACATATTAGTTCCCCTAGTAGGTTCGAACCCACGAGCCAACGTTACCTATACCTTTTTGTGTAACAATCTTCATTACATTCAGTGTACATTATTGATAGAAACAGATTAATTAATCTCGTGTTGATAAATACATGTATGAAAAGGATTAAAATACGTTTTTGTTCTCATTTATGTAGACCCTTTAAGACATTTTATGTAGAACATGTTATCTAAATCGTCTGTATATCAACAAATATATGTTTCTGTATAGCTGCAGTGGTAAGATTTGAAGATTTATTATTCACTCAATACATTATACATGTAAATATGAGGTAAATAACAAACTGCAAATTGTTGACATAACTAACACTATTATTTCTACATAGACAGGAGAAAGCATAACATCCACACAAAATGAAACGAATTATTTAAAAAAAAAAACAATCATCAAAATTCAACACAATGTTGTATACATGTATATTTAAATGGGGGGGGGGTAAACATTATCGTTATTAATTTTTTCGAATAATACACTAAATGACATGTTTAGATAGTTAAAGAGGGTACAAGCAGAGTATTTACCGCATTCCAGGACAGACGAAAGTGGCATAAACTGCATGTAACAAAAATAAATAGTGAAATTAATATTCAGCTATTTTCGATTACAAATACTTTGTATTCAAAAGGTTGTTATTCTTCTTCTTCTTCTTATTATTATTATTATTATTATTATTATTATTATTATTATTATTATTATTATTATCATCATTGTTATTATTATTATTATTATTATTATAATGATTATTATTATTATTCTTATTGTTGTTGTTATTATTTTTATTTTTTTTATTATTATTATTATTATTATTATTATTATTATTATTATTATTATTATTATTATTATTAAACTATTATCATTATCAGTTAAATTAAGTTTGCATAGAATATACTCGGAAAAAATTACGTTTTGATGTGTCAAAGACATTTTATGTCTTACATTACGAATATGTAAGTTTAATTATATATATGTTTCAGAGAGAGAAGAATGCATCCTCGAAATGTATATTGTCAATGAAGGACAAATCTACTACAATAAAGAACCCGGATACAGGCGAAACAAAGACATTTGCATATGACCACTCCTACTGGTCACATGACGGCTACACGGAGACACCTGGCGGCATTTATGAACAAGACTCACCTGATAGCCAATATACCGATCAGGTGAGAAATAATTCTTCATCTGCGCATGCCTTGATAATTCAAAATATTGTTGTAAAGTCTATTCTATCTTGTCAAAAATAACTATTTAAACTAGCAAAGCTTACGGGTAAAGAATACTATGAGCAAGCGATTTCAACAGTATTCCACTATTAAAATAAGAACATGGCTACCAAAAACTTGGTTTGAAACAAAATGCTATTTAGCTCCAAGTCATTTGGTCTAGACTATAAGCCATGGTCACGTTTACATGTATAGTACTTAGTGTATGTACTTTGCGCTTAAAAGAACTTATTATTCTTTCTTTGGGAATGAGAAACGCCGTACCTTTCACTAAATTACAATTTCTGGGACTCGCCCATACATACAGGTTAATGGTTAACTTAACTAAAATGGTTTTTATTGTCTTTAGTTTCAAATCTTTGCAGGAGGTAATTGATTATGCATAGAAAGGCATTACATTTTCTAGGAGATAAAACGCCTTTTGACAGCATGTTATTTTCGTATGACATCGTATTGTTCGTGCGCAGCAAAATTTTAATTAAATGCCAAGAATGGGTGCATTTGTTGAACGATTGTAATCCTATTAAGGAAAGTTAAAAGTTGCACGGAAATAACCTAATGTTAGTAAACACTCAAAATGTTGTTCGTTGCCACTTTTGTAAGCAAGATATTACAAATATTGTACAGATTGCCCCTACGGACAAATATATCATTACACTCACTCCTGGAAACAATAATTATAGAATTTATTTAAATTTTCTATTTATCGTCATTGTGTCTAACTTTTTTTTATTGACACCTTACAGAAATGTTTGTTTAGAGACCTTGGGCAAGGTGTACTAGACAACGCCTGGCAGGGCTATAATGCCGCCCTTTTTGCATACGGACAAACGGGGTCAGGTAAAAGCTACTCTATGATTGGATACGGACCAAATAAAGGCATCGTTCCAATCACGTGTGAGGAATTGTTCAAGGTCATAGAGACTAATAAAGATGAGAAAAAACAGTTACGAGTAAGTAAAGTGAAGACATAAATCCTATCTAGATAACAAACTAAGGTCCAAGTTGGCGTTTATATGCGGAATGGTTTTAGTTTTATAAAATATTTTATATCATATTTCAAAGCATGCTTATGCCCATTTTTTTTTAGATTCGTTTAGCATTTTTACTAATATATCATTTACAACTACATGTATTTTGAATTGAAACACACGATGTTGTGTTTTTTCCAATTTAATATAGATCTATATAAAAATGTAATTATAGATTACCAAAGAATGCAGATAGACGATACTCCGTTTCTCATTGTTCTTTATACGCGTCTCTGTGTTTCTTTATTTGCTATTATTGTTAAGAGTGACTTATTAAACTCAGCAAGTCTAGTATTATTGTTCTGCATTTTTAATGCTAGAAGATCGGGTTCCAGTCGCTGGTCGATAGCTCTCTTTGTTATATATTTGGATACCGTCTAAGGTTACCGTGTACGGTTACTATTTACATAGATTGAGTTATTGTTACAACGACTAATTCTTAAAATTTCAATTCATAGAAAAAATGTTTATCAAGGTCGTCAAATTAGACGCGCGTTTTAGATTTAGGACACGTTCTTCTCTAACAATTGTTTATCAAGCAATTCATTTTAAAAGCACGTTTAAGCTATTTATTTGTATACCTTAATAGAAACCCCACTGCTTTACTTTTTCAGGTATTTTTCAGTATGTTGGAGATTTATAATGAACAAGTTCGAGATCTCCTTTTGAAAGGCAAACCGCCTCACGGAGGCCTCAAGATAAGACAGAATCCAAAGTTAGGGTTCTATGTTGAAGGGTTAAAGGTACGTTTGGTGTCATATTACACCTTGTTTAACTCTCCCGGTAAGATGTTGACAAATATAAGTGGGAGCTAAATTTTAAAAGCATAGAATATGGTTTGTTAAATGTTGAGTTCTGCTTAAGCGGTGTTAGAGGGTGTGGGTGGTAGATTGCAAGTACCGGTACCAGTACCGACTATAAACAGGCTCAATCAAAACGATTTTTTTCAATTTTGCTGTTCTGGGCGTTCTTTAGGAATTCTTCTTATTCCTTTCTATTTACCTAATGAAGATGAGATGTTAAACACTTGTACTGTAACTCAGTAAACTGCTGAAACAGAAGGTGGCTTTCGCCGTCATTATAGAGCTCAAAGTGATTATGAATAATTCTAAAATTTGAAGCTGGAGAAACCCATTAAAATTCAGCACCTTAAAGAGGTAAAGAGGAAATGACGTGTATAAATTTATGCTTTGCAGGAAGAGATATAGTATGCGCGCATATCGATTTGCAGAATTTTCAATGATTCTGTATTAAGATAAACATCTTCATTGCTAAAGGGGTTTCTATTCATATCTGTATAAAATATTACATCATGTTGTTTATAATGCTTGTGCAGCATCGACAATTTTCCTTACTTTAATGGTTTATGCCGGGTTTAAATTTTTGTCGTAATTCAAAAATACACTTAGACCTCTTTATTTCTATTGTATGAATCTGGACTACAGTTTCTACCTTTGTCAAACATTTCTGTCCTTCTGAGGTTTATGTCAACAAATCAGGCAAATTATTCAATATAAAATTGATGTTTGATAAAGAATGCAAAATCAAATGTTTTAGGAACCATAGAAATTCATCAATGTTTTGCGCTTTACTATTAATATTCCTGACTGCGTTGCATTGAAATTCTGTTAAACTTCCATTCATATATTGACATTATTTGCCCAGCCCGTATTAAATTATTACATTTAGAACATACATAACATAAATAGTTCTAAAGGTTTCAGACATACACATTTCAATTTACATACCAAAGTTAATTGTTAAAACGTATACACATTTGCGGCAGTTGGAAATATAATGTAAATAAGTAGAACTAGTCCAAGTCCCTGTAAATATTGTCATAATAAGCTTTTAAACAAGCTGTGTACATGTTAAATGAAAACCACGAGAATTTGTGGTATTACAATCAGCGCCTGATGCATTTTATTAGAGCTGGGTTTTTTTTTCTTGAAAATTCGAAGTACAATGCATGTAGTGACACGTGATCTAGAACATTAAAATGTTGGCCGCGGCTCGGTTAAATTTGTAAGAAAATAACATTTACATAATCCGTATAGAGTAACATACTTACTTTCGCAACTTCAAAGAATGCAATACTTTATACCTATAAGGCATTGTGAATTTATATTTCTATCTATTGCATCTTGTTTCCAGCAAGTACCGGTCAGAAGTTACAAGGAGATAGAGAAATTTTAAAGGAGTAGGGACAACCCAACCCGGGCTTTCTCCATAAAAACAGCGCCCCCAGCAGCCGGGCACCATGGTCATACAATCGTTTTTGGGAAAAGGGGAAAAAATTGGGGTTTTCAAACCGGGTCAGTTTTTTTCATAAAAACTACCTCCCTTCCCTGCGTACTTTCAAAAAGAAAAGGGGAAATAATTAAAAAACTGAGGGGGGGGGGGGGGCCAAAACGGGAAAAATTTTTGCTCCATAAAAACTTTAGTTTGCAAAAAAAGTTTCCCGGGGTTCGATCTTTAAAAAGAATTGGAAAAAGGTAATTGCTATGGGATTTTGCTTATATCACCAAAAAAAAGGGGCGGGTTGTCTGTTTATGCCCTGTAAAAGGAAATTAAAGGGACTTTTTTGAACTTTTATTTTCAAATCAAATTTCATGACAAAACGCCCCGCGTAGACTTTTAAATATCTCTTGAACGTCAACAATATCAATAGCATACATTGTAGTATATTATCAACACATTTTGAAAGAAACAGTTAACTGCGTCAATAAAAAATAATTTTATATTGCTCGTTTTTAGCTCGACTATTCGTAGAATAATCGAGCTAATGCAGTCACCCATTTGTCGGCGTCGGCGTCGGTGTCGGCGTCGGCGTCCCCGTGGTTAAGTTTTTGTATGTAAGCTGGTATCTCCATAACTACTGAAGGGAATGGATTGAAACTTCACACACTTGTTCTCTGTGATTATCTAAGATGATTGGCACAAGTCCCATAACTCTGATTTGCTTTTTTACATAATTATGCCCCCTTTTCGACTTAGAAATTCTTGGTTAAGTTTTTGTATGTAAGCTGGTATCTCCATAACTACTGAAGGGAATGGATTGAAACTTCACACACTTGTTCTCTGTGATTATCTAAGATGATTGGCACAAGTCCCATAACTCTTATTTGCTTTTTTACATAATTATTCCCCTTTTTCGACTTAGAAATTCTTGGTTAAGTTTTTGTATGTAAGCTGGTATCTCCATAACTACTGAAGAGAATGGATTGAAACTTCAAACACTTGTTCTCTGTGATTATCTAAGATGATTGACACAAGTCCCATAACTCTGATTTGCTTTCTTACATAATTATGCCCCTTTTTTGACTTAGAAATTTTTGGTTAAGTTTTTGTATGTAAGCTGGTTTCTCCATAACTACTGAAGGGAATGGTTGAAACTTCACACACTTGTTGTCTGTAATTATCTTAGATGATTGGCACAAGTCCCATAACTCTGATTTGCTTTTTTACATAATTATGCCCCTTTTTCGACTTAGAAATTCTTGGTTAAGTTTTTGTATGTAAGCTGGTATCTCCATAACTACTGAAGGGAATGGATTGAAACTTCACACACTTGTTCTCTGTGATTATCTAAGATGATTGGCACAAAGTCCCATAACTCTTATTTGCTTTTTTACATAATTATGCCCTTGACTTAGAAATTCTTGGTTAAGTTTTTGCGTGTAAGCTGGTATCTCCATAACTACTGAAGGGAATGGATTGAAACTTCACACACTTGGTCTCTGTGATTATCTAAGATGATTGGCACAAGTCCCATAACTCTGATTTGCTTTTTTGCATAATTATGCCCCTTTTTTATCTTAGAAATTCTTTGTTAAGTTTTTGCGTGTAAGCTGGTATCTCCATAACTACTGAAGGGAATGGATTGAAACTTCACACACTTGATCTCTGTGATTATCTAAGATGAATTGGCACAAGTCCCATATTTCTGATTTACTTTTTCGCATAATTATTCCCCTTTTTTGATTCATAAATTCGTGGTTAAGTTTTTGTGTGTAAGCTGGTATCTCCATAACTACTGAAGGGAATGGATTGAAACTTCACACACTTGTTCTCTGTGATTGTATTGAAACTTGAAGGGTTTGTACCTTTTCGTACAATTTTATGTATTCATATAGGTAAGCATTATTATACTCAATGAAACACCCTTGTGACAAATTTTCGAATAGTCGAGCGTTACTGTCCTCCGACAGTTCTTGTTTTATTCCCCGATATTAAAATCATATAGTGAACTACCAATAAGTATTTTACAGGCGAAGGACAAATATGTTATGTTTATTACCCTAAAATAACTTCTGTTTATCTGTTGTGTAATCTTCACTTATTAAAGCACACGAAATTACCTGCTATTTGTAAATTTATGGCATATAAAACCCGATTGTCATTAATACATGTAATTTTTTAAGCGCGAGAAATTTTTTTATTTATATTTGTCCTTATTTCAGGTCATTATTGGAGAAAGCGGACAAAGTAACACCCGTAGTAGTGATATAAATCTAGTAGACTTGGCCGGTTCTGAAAGAGCTGATTCCACTGGGGCAACAGGTGATAGGTTAAAGGAAGGGTCCGCTATCAACCAGAGTTTGTCAACACTCGGAAATGTGATAAGGTAGAGGCGAAAGAATATGAAAGAACATGCCTCTTGATCAAATTAATATGTAATATAATTATAGTTCGAAATTCCCCACAACATACAGTGTCCACATTCAATCCAAGACAATTATATTGCTTAAGGATGAATGTCAGTGTTTTACATTTTAGACCAATTTCACAATTTTATCGTAATCTTTAGGTAGGATATTTTTCTCATAAAAAAGCTCTATATTGGTATATCTTTCCCATAATAAATCTATATCAGGTTAAATAAACTTAACTTATTTTGGCATGAATTCAATTGACATTGATAATTATTTTCATTTATTTACAGTGCCCTAGCTGATGTAGCAATGGGAAAGAAGAAAGTTTTAGTACCGTATAGAGATTCTGTCCTCACTAAACTGTTACAGTCTGCACTGGGAGGTAACAGTAGAACTATTATGGTAAGTAACGTCAACTCTGATTGGACAATGCAATCTGACTTCTGAACTTTTAACATAATTTTGCTTGGTTTACTTAAAATGTCAAGGTGAAGGCCAAAAAGGCGCTAAAGTAAGTTTGAGCAAGGAAAAGTAATCGTGCCATATAATTCTATCCAGATTTATCAAAAAAATAAAAATAATAATAATAATAAACCATACACTGTTACACCCCATAAAATCTAACCTTAATTAATGTGCCAAATGTTTCAAACAATGTCTTATAAATTACCCTGATGTGTGATAATTCTTGATAATTTTCGCCATGAATACCAAATTAAGACAACTGTATAAATGTCAAATTAAATCATTCTTGTAAGAAAATTGCTATGTCATACTTTCCTCATCCATTTTATATGAACACGAACACTTATATACATAGAATGGATGGTCCCCATGGACCTTGTGGTATTGATTTAAACAATTACGCAGTTTTTGATCAATATTCTATATATTCATGTATTATGTAATGCAGGATATAGGCAGGTTGAGGAAATAGTTCTAACTTTTATTACAACACCAGTGTCTCATTATTGTTTAATGTTTTCTTTCATACATGTTATTATATTAGATAAATATTTATTGATTTATACTACCCATAGTTACTACAAACGTATTGAAATGTGGGCAAATGCGATACAATATTTCAAGATACTTCTTTTTTATTTTTTTGCTGAAACGTTTAGTCATCAACGTTCTTTTTCTTAAACATGTACACAACTTTAGGACTTACATATTTTAAAAGTGACATTATGCTTATTTTTCTATTATTAAATAGAGCTGAATTGACTATATACATGTATTTCGAAAGGTTAATTTTTATAATGGTGATTGACCAAAAGTTGATCCTGGAAAATTTTTAGGAAAAAATATAAAGTTGCCTAAAATATAAAAAGACTGTCCCACTCTTTTTTTTTAAAAAAAAAATTGAACGTTATAGGTGAATTCTGGTGGACATTTACAAAAATTTCCATGGGCAACGTGATATATATATCAGTCATGCGAAGTAAATTATAAAATTTTGACTTTCACCTGTCACTTATTAAAAGCCATTAGATGGGCCTAATGTCACTAAACGTGTGTGTTTACGAACGCAAATTGCAGCTTTCAAATTTGTGCCAAAATTGTTGCAAAAAACCTTGATAGCCCTCTACAGAACGTTTATGAAAGGAATGCTACCGGCCTTTCCATAAATTCACAAAATCACATTTCCATGTAGTTTAATACTGAGTGTTTTTCCCCTTATATATGACACCTCCTTTATTTTACAGATTGCAGCCCTCAGTCCTGCTGATATAAATTATGATGAAACATTATCAACAATGCGATATGCGGACAGGTTGGTAACTAGTTGAAACTTAATTGTAGCTATCAATCTTAACATTAAATGCGGGAGGTATTGCAAGATTTATACTGAATTTATCTGTAATGGAACGTCTGTATTACCATAAATAATTATGTTGATAGTTTCAAATACGGACAACAATCCACGAAAAATATATATATGTATATGGATGGTGTTGGTAAATGTGAGATACATGATCTGATATTACATATATCAATATAAAGCAGATAATACATTGTTATAGAACATAATATTATTTGTTGTCATATGAATGTCCATATTTATCACTATGAACTCTATCAACATTTTTTTTCAATAAATGTTTTATAAGAATATCTAAATGATACATTTATATTGTTTTAATCAATATTTTAAATACCCATGGAGATGTGCCCATTTTAGATCAATCCACTTTAAAGATAATTTATGTTGTTTTATTATATTTTTTTTATCGATTCATAACCTTGAATTTTGTAATTTTGCAGAAAAGATATTTTACTTTTTTCATATTTATTGACATCTTTGATCGCAAATCTATTTAAAGAACAATTATAAAAAAAATTATCAACCTTTAAGTCAATTGCACGTACAGTTGTTTTATAAATGTCCTTCAAAATATCTAGTTAAACATATTACACTTGAATTGTTTTTTCGTTTTATGCAGCTATTTATTTATATACTTGATAAAAATATGTTTAAATAAACTTGGAATGATATTTACGATTGAGTGTCTCAATAGATTTATTAGAAAAAAAGTTTACAAATATACATGTATATTTACTTTATAAGATAAATAATGCCACTCATGCATGTGTCCTACATATTTTACCTGTTATTTTAACAGAGCAAAGAAAATCCAGAATAAGGCGATAGTAAATGAAAGTCCGACAGACCGTCTCATACGAGAGTTGAAGGAAGAGAACGCTCGGCTGATGGCAATGCTGAAAAAACATGGCACTGGCGACACAACAGGTGATATACTGACTTCTTTATATACAACAATAAATCTTGGTCCGAAATACCTATTTTTGCCTACTCCCTTATTTATTTCCCTGAACTTTAAAAGCACAGGCTATAATATAATATTACAAAATAAAATACTTTTAATAAGACATAAAAGAAAAGAGTTTAATGGAATGTTATGAAGTGAAGATTTTTGTTTGAATAGCTGACTCAATATAATTAATACTGAAATACCTCAAATTTTATATGCTTTCTACTGCACGTTGGATAAGTAGTCGGTTACTTGCGAAGGAATTTGTTATGTTATTACTAGTTAATTAGTTATGCAAGTAGATCGACCGTCCAGATATTACCAATAGTGTGTTTAAATCGGCAGAAAAAAACAATAGAAAAAAGAGACTGCTTACACTTGGTTAAGAAAAAACCCTTGACATAACAGCTAGACATATTTTTGCTGTAAATTGCCTTTTGGACAACCCATCTGCCGTTTAAGCTGCAATGCATAGAAGATAGAGATAAAAAATGAATCCATAAAGAACGTTCACAACGGCAAAGTTGAAATGATTCAGGCTTGGTCTGAATAAGCTTATTGAGTTTATTGTTTACGGAAAGTGCAAGCTACCGTCCACGCTCCTTAACACCGCCTTAAAATGCTACCTGAAATATTCGTATGGTGGCTAATACATGTATCTATACATGTATAATGTAAACTAAAGCCTGTGACGATATTTCAAAACAAAAATGAACGTTTAAAGATATGTTTCGTCTTTTACCACCCCACTTAAAAGACAATCCTGAAAGTTGGTTGGGAAATAAAAACATAAAGCAGCTATAGAAATGGATATATCTTGAAACCACCTTTAAACTTTACCCCTGATTTTATCTTTGTATGAATGGTTCTTGTCAGTTATAATATTGCCCTCTTATATTTACGTGACTGTTCACTTGATATCTAAATTTAGTCTGCTAATAACTATATAAAAAGATAAAATTTCGCAATTAGGAACTATACAAATATAGAATGAAAATATCTATATCGGCTCATTTCAAGGCCAGTAAATAATTTCATAGTCTATAACGAAAATTATTCTATTGTTAAATAATTGATTCATGTTATAATGCCTTTTATTATATAAAAAGAACGCTGTCAAGTAAAGAAATATTTTTATGTAATGAAATGAAAAAGTTGTTTTGTAGTTATACTATGGACTGACATATTACTATTATGTCATTGACAAAACGAATATAATTCTGCATTATTTGTCTTTAAATACAAACGAATATAAATTAGACGCGTCACGACAAAACCAACATATTGCGTTTGCGACCAGCATGGATCCAGACCAGACTGCGCCCATGCACTTTTGTGGCTTTGTCGTGACGCGGCTCAAATTTAATTTTTATTGACATGGTATTTGTTTTGACATTTTTAATTTGAAGAAGATAGTACATATATTTTATTTATTTAGTTATGGTTAAAAATCCATAAAAACAACACAATTTTGTCAAGACATGTTTACTCTACAAATACATGTAATTAACAAAAAACATGAATACCTTTGCAGAGATTCAAAGCATGTTGGCTGACAATCAAAGAAAAATGGTTGACATGCAAATGTCCTGGCAACAACGGCTGGAACAAGCAAAGTAAGAGTGAACGAAATGAGTAAAATACTACCTGTTATAATAGCTCTTTAAGTAGTCTTTACTTACTCGTTAGAGCAACGACAAGGGCTCTTAACTTGACTCGGTAAAACTAAACAAATAGCAGATCTAACATAAGCAGTTTTAAGAGCGCCATCATTCCGGTTTTGCGTAACACTGATACAGTTTTACTGAAGCGTACCTTTGCATAAGCCCTAAAAAATCGTCATGTTCATTTTTATCTTTGCTTGTTTGAATTTTAATGAATCAAAGAAAGTCCGACAGTTTTTCTGTAATAACTCTAAGAACGACTAAGAACTTTTTGAAATCATGTGTTTTCTGTTTATTTTAGTATTCAGTTCAAATGTGCCTCGTTGTCAGTATAAAGATATTGGTAGATAACGGACTTTGCTATATTTGTGTGATTTTTTTACCATTCCTTTATTGCGTTCATCTAGAATTTGAACAAGACATGCATGAGATAGTAATATTTTTGCGTGTTTCAGACAAGAATGGGAAAAGTCTCACCATCTAGATGAAAGTATGTTGGATACAACATGGATGAAACATCCTTACATAACAAATGTGAACGAGGATCCACAACTTTCAGGAGTTATCAAACATTGTTTTTGTAACAGTAAGTCTCTGTAGATGTAAATAATAATGTAGGTCAAAAATATTAGCTGCTCCTTGTGAAAGAGGGGATTATTCCCCCAAAATATAAAAGATATGAAAAGAAATGGTTACAGATAGGGGTATTTTTTCTTCCTTTTTTTCACAGAGATTCTCTGGGTTTTTAAACAAATGTAATGTGTGTCTTAAAGATAGCAAATGATCTGTTTTTATTAAACAAAGCAGATACATTATATTCGAAATTTATATTTGAATTGATCTATATATAATTTCAGAAAGTACATTGGTTGGTAGGTCGGGGACAGAAGATGCAATACAATTACGAGGGCTTGGGTAAGAAACTTTTCAAATACCCTTTTTCGATTTTTTTAAACATTTTTAATCTTAATCCTTAACTTAAGACCAATATGCTTTAATATACTAGTAATATGAATTTCTTCTATATCCTCTATGACAGCTTCTGAAGCTATATATTCCATTTGAAAATTGCAATAATAAAAGCAGCACGTTTTTTTGAAAGGAAGATGATACTTTTTCATTTTCAAGTGTTTCTGACCATTTGGGTTTCATGTTCATGTCAAAAACATGGTTTTAAAAATTTTGGCCAAAATATGTCATGTACAATACATAAATAGTCTTTACAGGATTGTTTGAAAAATCTAATTCATAAAAATTCAGAATTGAGCCGGAGCATGTTGAGGTGTTAACGGACGGTACTAAGGCGTTTATTAGACCGTGCACGGCGACGGCTGCTGTCTACGTCAATGGTATCAAGGTGCACGAGCAAACACAACTTAACCATCAGGTCAGATATAGCAATTGTCTATTCATACATTTATTATAGATTTGGTCTGTTAGGTACATAAGGTAATCAATGCCGAATTGTGAACATGATTTGTTTTTGTTGAAACTTAGGCCAAATTTCTCTTCCAAGATTAAGATTTTTCTTCTCGGTTCCAGCTGGTTTTTGCCGGTCCTTTCAGTGTATGTGACCATGCCTGAAATAATGTTAAAAGGTACTTAAGAGTTTTTCCCAAAGCATGACAACATGAAAGTTACTGTATGGTCTATCAAAGTCGACACTTACAACTGTTTTATGTAGAATCTTGGTGACTCTTGTCTTCCTTATTCCTTTTCTAAATTTCTTGCAAATATTATAGGCCTATATATCATATATTGTAATATCACTTTGAAATGAAAAAAAAAACGCGTTGTTAATTAACAAAAAAACACATCAAGATTTATTGACAATACATTGTACATACATTAATAGATAAAGACTTTATTCGTTTGTAGATAACATAAAAATTATCTTTATGACTCAAGTATTTATTTGTCATTTTATGACCTTCTTTTGTAAACGTTTAATTTCGGTTCATGTGATCGTTTAAAGATTAATCAACATGTATTTTATATATTACAGGACAGACTGAAGTTTGGTTCAGCTAGTATGTTTCTATATATCGGCTATCCTGATGAACGAAAGAACGGCAACTCACCGTTTGCATACAACTATGATAATTTCATGCTAGAACTTGCCGAGCATGCCGGCGCGTCTGTTGACATAGCAACACCCCGAGATACTCACCATATTGATGACTTGTCCCATAGAGTTCTCTTTCAGGACTTTGTCGATCTTCTACCAAAACTTGCCGAGGCTAATGCAATAAGTGAGGAACTCAAACGTGTAAGTCAATAATATATAGTCTGTACGAATGCAATTTCCCATATATAAAGCGCACATCTTATGATTAACCCCAGGATGGGCATTTGTCTATGACTGGGTCAGTCTTGTCAGTGTAATAAGTGAATGGGTAGGTATAAAGTAAACAAGTTTCGATGAAGCAATGCTATAAAGTTGGAGATGCGCTCAACTGGATGGGTAAAAGGGAAACATGTTTACAGCTGATGACCATCATGTTTTTATGAAACAGGGATTGGGCTGAACTGAATGGATATAAAGTAAACATGTTTAGGTTGTGATGTTTCAATGAAACAGTGCTATAATTTAAGTTGGGGATTGCGCTCACTGTTTCAAGTAAAACTTTGTCTACTTAGCCTTAATATGATATGATTGTTGAGACGCAAAGAAAAACACTCATACACTCTCTGATAAATTAGCGGTGTCATTGTTTACACTTTTACATCGATTGCTGGTTATCTAGTAAATTGCTCTATAAACAAACTTATTTGAGTTACAGTTCATTACGCATTCACAATTATTTCCCACTTTATAAAAGGATCACATTATATTTGACTGTTCCATATGATGAAATAGTAAACATTCTGATACTTACATTTTAATGGAGTAAATGAAAGGGATTCGGGTAATTTGTCTTTATAACTTGTAAATACTCAGCTGTGGAATTCAAAGAAAACCTAAAAATGATAAAAAAAATCAAATGAATTTGTTATTCCTCGCAAACTCAGACACAGAGAGTAAATAAACAGCTAAATGTTTACTGAAGTTCGTTTGCTATGCATTTGAGTTTATTATTTATGATACTTTTATAAATGGCATCAAAAACTACTTGTTTGTATTACTCTTTATATAACACTTTATATTGTTATAACGACGTTAAGTGACATTCTATATAAACAATGGCTGATGTGGATATATTACTTCGTGTCGCTTTCTCAGGTTGTATGCGTAAACTGCTAGTGTCCTCAATGAAACAAATATCAATCGAAATCTTCTGTAAAGAAATATTTTTTTACGATTTTTGTGTACATATGCTATTAAAAGAACGCGGGACATCAGCTTACTTCAAAAATAAAGATGTATCGAAGTAATACTGTAAATCCAAATTGAGATTTCTTCGTCACTAGAGGTCTTTTGGTCAGGCTTTGTTTCAATAATTTAAGCAGTAATGTTTTGGTGGAAAGAGTAGTCCAAATATGTGTACATAGTTATCATGAATGCAGCGCGATCTTTCCTACTTTATATTTACATTTACATAATTTCAATATTTAATTTCCAAAACAAAGTACAAGATGGGAATAAATAAAACATATATGACATAAACCTGAAGTTTCTGGATATTAAATTTTCAGCATACAAAGTTTGAAGCGGTTGTTCGAAGTGAAGCTAGTCATGATCCAAAGGGGACAGCAGCTGGAAAGGAAGTCATCATCAAAGTTACAAATAACCAAACGAAAAAAGTATGACGTAATTCTCTTTAAACGCTATATTCAGATTTGTATGAAAACCTGTTCAATTGATTGAGATGAATATCAAATATCTAAATGATACATTAAAAGATACGTAATGTATTTTTTATTTAACTTTCTTGCAACGAACTATCGTTTATTATTAATTTGTTTTGGATTTGGAGCTCATTGTTTTTTTCCAAAAGATTCTGTTGCATTTGAATCGTATAAATGTTAACAATAGGTGCTCTCATATTTGGATTTAGTTAATTTTTACAATATATATTCTTTTGCATGTTCGAGATTTTGAAGGAAACTTCCAGATAAGAGGAGAGCTACCTATAGAATTAAGACTGAAAGGCTATGTGCCATTATTGTTGTCAGCAGATACATTTCTGAAACACTACATGAGGAAAATCATAATTACATAATTATTTGTATTTAATCTTACTTTTCAGGTTTGGGTATGGTCCATGAATAAGTTTTATAACCGTAAAGATTTAATGGACGAGTTATATTTGAAGTGGCTTGACGGTGATAATGTAATTACAACGCGGGACAAAGACCCATTTTGGGATCCTGTGGAGGACATATTCCTTGGAAGGTATTCTGTCACGACTGATGTTAAGTAAAATGAGCCACGCCATGATAAAACCAACATAATGGGTTTGCGATCAGCATGGATCGAGACCAGCCTGCGCATCCGCTCAGTCTGATCAGGATTCATGCTGTTCGCTTACAAACCCCATAACAAGTACTGAAACTGATAGCGAACAGCATGGATCCTGATCAGACTGCGCGGATGCGCAGGCTGGTCTGGATCCATGCTGGTCGCAAACACATTATGTTGGTTTTGTCATGGCGAGACTTAAATTGTTTTGTTATGTTACGTTTCAGTCATATTGTGTCGTATTTGCTATTAATACTTGCGTGTTTTTTATAGTTGAAATAGAGCCATTGATTTTCTTACAATAATAGTTTAACTTTTTTTCATTTTAGTTGCCATATAATGTTACAAAGTATTGCTTACTGCGCTGAAGTAGATGAACATTTTACCATTCATAACTACCACGGAAAAGAGGAGGCTGTCGTGCATGTGCAATTGATACCATGTGATGATAAAGGACATGCATTAGAGGACGATGTTGTAATGGAACCAAAAGATCTTCTTAACAAAACATTAAATTTCTCGTGTGTTGTGTCACAGTGTATGAGTGTTAGATGGATTAATGAAGATCATTTTCGCGGTGTTGAATGCAGGTTGGTTAAAGGCATTTTAAAAAATATAAAGGGTGTAACGAAACTTAGAAATCTTTTTGGGAGTTGCAAAAAATGTTATAAGCATACCAGTGTTCTTATGTAACTGACTGAATGTCCAAATATGTATACACTTAATATACTGGCCGGTCCCTTAACAAACGTAAATTATTTACAACGCCGTGTTCAACTTTACGCTTTTATATCATACATTGTATGTTACATTTAAATTTGTATGACAAATTAATATATTGTGAAAGGACTATCTAAATCACGACAAAATTTGTTTTGAGTTTAACAATTACAGCTACAAATACCGTCATATTTTTCAGGTTTACTTTATGTTGCATTAAAAATCCCTTAACCAGTATTTTGTGAAGGAACTATCTAAATCAGGACTGAATAGATTTGAGTTTAATAATTACAGAAACAGATTCCATTATATTTTATTTTCAGGTTTACTTTACCCTTCCAAAAACCTAACAAAACAAAAACAGTCTGGCACAAAGGTTATGTGGAGTTTGACTTTAAACAACTTTACAAATATAAACCAGTTACAGACAAGTTACTGGACTATCTTCATAATAACTCTATGGTTTTAGAACTTTGGGGAAAACAAGGTAAGCAAAGATATTCATACTGTTTCTAGATACCAAGATAACATTCAAAGTTTATGTTTTTAGTATTTTAAGTAGTTAGTTAAGTACCTGTGTGACTCGTTCACTTATTTCAATACGACAGTTTGGAATGAAATTAATTTTGGAATCACAACAGTTAATAGGTTAGACATACCATCAAAATAAAGTACATGTATAAATTAAATAAATGCGTCAAAAATTATCAATAGAATGCTTAACCCTAAGCGTCTGAGTTCTTTCTCGATTTTCACGTGCGAATTATTAAAGTGAAATTAATAAATTCACATATTGAAGTATATTTATTACGTTGGCAAATAAGTTTGTATCGTTAAGTCCATATTATTGCTACAGATATTTTTTTCACGCCGTTGATGATTTCTTTAATTGGTTGTGTTTAGCAATTGATTATTTTATCTTTATCATCATCCTGCTTATTATCTACGGAATGCCGTTAGGGCCATCGCCTATGAATGTGTTGATCTGAACGCGATAGTCGATAGTACGATGGTGAAAACGCGAAATCACGAAACTACGATGGTGAAAACGCGAAATTACGATGATGAAAACGCGATAGTACGATGATGAAAACGCGACAGTACGATACTACGATGATGAAAATGCGATAAACTTTCGTGTTCTTCACCATCGTACTGTCGCGTTTTCACCATCGTAGTTTTCGTGATTTCGCGTTTTCACCATCGTAGTTTTCGTGATTTCGCGTTTTTCATCATCGTACTGTCGTGTTTTCATCAATCGTACTATCGCGTTTTCACCATCGTACTATCGCGTTTCATCATCGTACTGTCGTGTTTTCATCATCGTACTATCGCGTTTTCACCATCGTACTGTCCGTGTTTTCATCATCGTACTACGCGTTTTCATCATCGTACTATCGCGTTTTTCATCATCGTACTATCGCGTTTTTCACCATCGTAGTTTCGTGATTTCGTGTTTTCACCATCGTACTATCGACTATCGCGTTTCAAGATTAACTCATTCATAGGCGATGGCCCTAACGGCATTCCGGAATGCCGTTAGGGGCCATCGCCTATGAATGGTTTGATCTGAAACGCGATACTCGACAGTACGATGATCTGTCGCGTTTTCATCATCGTACTATCGCGTTTTCATCATCGTGCTTTCGCGTTTTCACCATCGTAGTTTCGTGATTTCGCGTTTTCACCATCGTACTATCGACTATCGCGTTTTAGATCAACACATTCATAGGCGATGGCCCTAACGGCATTCCGTAATTATCACCACCACCACCACCACCATCATCATCATATTATTATTATTTTTTTTATTGTAACCTTTTTTCCATCAAAGCTGAATTATGTTTTTAGCTTCTCTTCATTTAAAGTGGACTGGTACACAATAGGCACATCTCCATAAGTATTGAAAATATTGACGAAAACAATAAAAATGTATCATTTGGATATCCTTATAAAATATTTCCCGAACAAGGAGAGAAATGTGCTGATCAAGTTCTAGAACAATTTATTATCTGCTACATATAGATCTCACATTTACCAACAGCATCTATATATCCAAGATATCTTTAATTTTAACGGTTTATTCTATTTTAAACAGTGAGTGAAGACGAGCAGTTACATTCAAATGGCATGTTACATGCAGATACTGAAAATGTAAGTTTTTTAAACAACGGTTTGTAAATCATTTTTACCTTTGACAGTATTATTAAGTTGACTGTATATCCTGTTTTACAACAAACAGCAAGTATCTTAATTAATTATTTTGAGCATTTTGTCATGTCGTTGTTGAACTATACGTGTAAATGGTGCAACGTTATTCCTAAATGAATGCTTTTATTACTTTATTTTATATATACTCTTATTTTACAGCAAAAAGTTTCTGAAGTTGGATATATTTGTCACTTTAAAGATAAAACTCGCTTATATTTCCAAAACAAAATTGACACCCTGAACCTGACACTACTTTTAACAACACTTTTAAATCACGCGAGATTGTGTCCTCAATAATGGGGAGTTTGTAATTTAATTAATTAATTAACTGGGCGTATTTCTTTAATATTAGCATGTTTTCAAATAGATGAAACGTTATTTTTTTTGCCACGAGACAAATTTACAGCAATTAAACCAATATTTTAGCGGTTTTTTTATTGTTTTAACTTTTAAATGTTTGATGGTGTAGGCAGGGATGCCCACTCCTGTCAATATCAATCATTATTCGTAAGATGGTGGTCTGTGCTATATGTAATATTTACAAGATTGTACTTTTAAAAAGAAAGTATGTTCATAAATGACATGCATGAAATTAAAATATTTCTTTTTTCTAGGGAAACGTGTCGAAACATCATAAGGAAAATTTAAAAGGGCATTGGATAGACCATCGTGATGATGAATTAATGTATATGGTACTCTAGCGATTTGTCTGAACATTTTGCTGAAAAAAGTGCTTACCTGGCTGGCGTCCGCTTTACTTAAATTTCGCAAAATTTGCCGACCATTTCCTCTATATTTTTCAGATTTATTTTTCTTCTTCTACTGGTAGAACATACAAACCCTAGCTCTAACATCGGCGTTCTTACTTTCAAGTTTTATGTTATTGAATTAACAAACATTTTTTTCTGAACTGAGGGGTCGCTGTGGAATAGCTTATTCTAATACATGTTTACACTTCTTGATTCATTATGACTTTTTTCTATAAAAGGTTGAGCATTTTCGAACTATTTTTAATACATTTTCGTCTATTTCTATGTTAAATCATAACTTTATCTGGCACGTTTCACCAGATATTGTATGCATATAACCTTTGCAAGAAAAGTCGTCTTGAAACGCTCATTGTATATTTATATTTAAAACTAATATTTATTACAGCTACTGGTATGTATATAATGACAAGTATTTTTTATTTATTTCTTAAGTATTATTTTTGTATTAATCATTTTATAGGGAGGGACGGATATTCTTTCACAGTTAAAGTCAAGAGTAAGTTTAAACGTTAGATAGAAAAGAAAATAATTGTTGTAGAGATGTGTAATACTATATTTCTAATTTTCCTCAGAATAATATAGTTTTAGTCACCTAGTGTACTCTCCAGATCTGTTTCTAGACTAATACCTCTTGTATTCTTTTTTTCGCCGCTTACATTAACGTGTACTATTGCTTCCACATTTTATAATAGTCTTGTAAATAAAAGTACCAGAATGTAATGTTTCCGATACAATCGGAACAACTCGGCTATTGGTCCTTATCCGAAGACTGGCGGAAATGACCGAAAAGTTGCAATTGGTTTCAATACAGAGCATTCAAGCAGTTGTATTTCTTGTATTCACCGGATAAATTAATTAATGTGTGTTGTGTATATTGCTTTCTTTTAATTCAAAGAGAACGTAAGACATTTGACTCTTACTTCTAGTAACGTTTGTTTCGTATGTAGGTAACACCAACATGTCACTACTTTTGAGGGAGCTGATTTCCGATAATTGAAACATAAATTAGATAATATAATGATTAATTATAAGAAAGGTGTAAAAACAGTGAATGAACGTTTACATTGAATCTTCTTCAGTATCCTTTATTTGTACTATATCTCGTTTTTAAGGAATTGAAGAAAACAAAAGTTTCTTAAAGTTTTATACATTTACAACAGCAATGCATTATACATTGCACTCCCTAAATAAGTATCTTAAATTAATACCGTCTTGGTGCCTTTTTTGACAAACTGGAATGTTTGAGACATTTTATGGATACATTGTACATGTATGTTTGTTTGATTGTTGCATGAGATTTTTTTTTTTGTATAAAGCGGATAGCAATAAACACTTTTCGTTGTAATGTTTTATATTTTTACTGATTCATTATATACGAGCTTTAAAATTCATTAAAATATTGAAATTGAAGTAAGCATTAATGGTTGATTAAAAAACAACAACATTAAAACATACACTTAATTTGCTCCAATTATTTATAAGGATTTTTTTTTCAAAAGTCGAGAATCTCGTGCAATAAAATATTTATTATAATTGAATTATAGGAAGATGAAGCTGAGATGTTACGTGAAGAATGTGAACAAATTAAGAAGGAGAATTTCAAACTAAAACAAACATTGATGAGAACAGAAGAAAAACTACGACTCATTGAAATGAGAGGTTTGTTATTTGAGATGTGTTTGCATGTGATGTAGACGAAAGAAAAGTATAGTTATAGTAACAATATCTATTGTAAGCAATAAATGACAAAACACTTTCAATCTTTTTACTTCAGTAAGGATGCTGGTCTTGACAAAGTTGGTTACTGTAATACTAAACAAATGAATTGTAGAAATTGTTTTTCACACTGATTAGTTAAGTGTATACAAATTTGTTTTACATTTTTAGTTTGATTGTGTTGGAAGGTATAAGCTTTTTAAAACATTTTTGAATTCATTACTGGAAACTACCTTGTGCTTAGCCATGAGTGTAAAGTTTCTTGCTGAAAGAAACAACGATTGTCCATGCTGTTAGCAATCCTTAGATTGCTAGTTCGACGCATAAATCACTGGATTAAACGAGTATTTAGACTGTCAGGGAAATTATAAATAGTTTTGATCAAAAGAGTCTTTTAAAAATTATTTGCCTTTACCTTTTTCATTGTTGATGTTTTACAGGTGGAATGAAGCGTTCCGGTAGTAGAGACAGAATCGCCTCCAGTAAAGCAGCGTCGTCTCAAACCGGTCTAGATGTAGATTTTGCTAAAGCATTACGAGATTTCTTTCAGGAAATGAAAGATATACAAAATGGTTTCAAAGACATGCGAGATTTTGGTTTGTATCTCTTTTCCTTTTTTTCTGAAAATTATTTTGTTTCAGATTTGTAATGGCGTTTCGTATACTATACAACTGAAATATGTTTTATTGTGGTTGATTTGGTTTTTAAAATCAAATAAATTTTCCCAATATACAGTTATTATAAAGTTATAATTTCGAAAGGTTTCCTGGCTTGGGCCTCGGGAGAGTAGTTGCAAGACTGGCCAGTCCGCGGCAATTTATTAAGCCATAATGAAGCAGCATGCCAAGGTGTCCACGTAACCTTGCTACAGTAAGTGAAGCAGCCGTACGATGTAACACATTGTGTTATGTAACTGAAAATGTGTTAAAAACCCTCCAAAGAACGACAACACAGCACTAGTTGCGAATATTTTTTTAATAATAAGCATTAATTAAGGCTGTACCAAATGTTGCTCTTTCAGCCAAACTCGCATATCCAATGTTAGTGATATATATGCATTATGACTTTTACTCTTTCATTTTCAGTATCTTCAACTAAAGACAAAATGGGTGCTAATGGAATAAAACAATCATTCGAAAGGCACGAAAATGCAATAAATACTGTAGATAACAAAATGACCGACTGTTTAGCTTCACTGAAGAAAAGTGCAGCCACTGCATTGCGCAAATCACGTTCAGAAAAATGATGACATCTTTTGTGGTTTGGAACATGTGATATATTTATTGTTCAACATTGCGTTTTTTGATAGGATACAAAATGATGAAATATGTTGTCTTGTTGTTGACATTTTGCAACATCTCAATCGTCAATAATTCAAGTATTATTATATATGAAAAGGTAGAGATATTTCAACTGCTGTAAATTGACATCAAATACAAGAAAATATAATTAAAAGGTTGCACCTGTGATATAGGGTTTACAGAATATGTATCTGGATTTCCATGATGAGTATATACAAAAACTGGGCGGATGAAGACATTACAACAACACCTGATCATACTGAACTGCGTCGACACAGCTAAACAATCTTGTTCAATCATATTCATGTACTGTATGTCATTAGTTTTTGACTTTTAGATTTTATGGGGGAGAAGGCATTGCAAACGTTTCTGGTATCTTAATCGTATATTATATTCATGATCAATATTTAAGGAGTGTAAGCATGGTGTTGTCTTCGAAGCATGGTGTTGTCTTCGCCAAGTAAGGGGTCAATTGTATACGAGTTTGTTTGATGTTTTCATAATATAATATGTGTTTGAAAACTGCAATACATTGTATGCTGAATGCGAGTATATATTTATAATAAAAACTTTAAGTGAAAGTATTGAAATTTAAATATAGAAATAATCAACGTACATTTTGTATTCAAAGTCAAACAAATAAATTAGTTCTATGAAATGGCATTACAGTGTATTACCTCTTTATGTGAATAGAAAATACAAAATGTTTAATCATTGGTGCTTGTTTTTTCACTGTACATGTATATTAAAGTGTTGTTTGACAACTGTAAAATTATATTTGAAGATACACGTTTCATCCTTTCGGGGTGATAATCGTTTTAATAATTTTTATGTTTAAGATTGAATTCTGCTTAAGTCCTTGCTATAGAAAATCTGTGAAAGGAGAGATCCTTCGAGATCCTTCGAGAAGAATGAAAACAAAGGAAATGATTGACAATTGCAGACTCTGTTCATATAATGTAGTGTGTATTGTCTATCATGCCCCCCCCCTTGCACCGGCTGACGCGATATATGCAATCCTCAACACTAAAAGTATTGGAATCAATGATGCCTAAGGAGCAAGGAGTATTACAACACTGAGATGGAGCACAAGGCAACTTAGATTCATGAGAAATGTTTCACTCATAAACAGAGGCTGCAGGGGTTGTAGAAAGTAGCTTTCATTCACATATTTTGTCTATCAAAATGTTCAATCAAACCAAGCCTGCAACATTATAATAATTATGCCGTTTTTTCATAACCTTTAAGGTTTCTTTTTTTTTAAAACTGTTTCAATCAAATGGCTCTGCGGTTTTTACTTACTAATGTTAATAATATTGCTTCATTACTATAAAGGGACCGCTCCTTTCGGATTTTTTGAAGTATTTATTTTAAAGATGAGAGAAAAGGCATAGAAGTTTTTGTTCAACACGATTGTCCGCTCGTACTAGAAATTTGACTAATTGGATGTTTCAATGTCCAGAGTTAAAGTTGATTTCAGATCGTAGTATAAAGTATATATATTTATGTAGTATACTTTTTTCGCATCAGATACATAAAAACGTAAATTAAATAAAAAATGAAAATATCCATGCCCATGACATTAGTTTTATTCAACTGAAATTCGTCATGACAAATTTGATAGAAAGTTTTATAAAATATTGATAATAAACGCTAGGAATCTAGATATAAATATAAAGAGCATAAATTCCATAACATATCTGAAAGAAATTTTTAGCATTAAATCCCTTAAAATACTACAAGAATAAATATAGGAATTGTACTATAGATGCACAGTTAAAACTCAAAAGGATGCCTGACACTAATAATAAATATAAAGACTGGATTTCCAAATGTGACAAAATACATTTAAAAAGGAAATATTTTTTACAAATTTCACAACATGTCTACGAACTTAAGCAAACATCAACATTTAGAGTGAAACAAATGAAAAAAACAGCAAAGTAATAAGAAATTACGTTGTTGGTTAACAAAGACAACAATTAAACCTGATTTTTTCATACTAAGATTTGATGAGAAGACTAATGTCAGGACTCTGTGTGTTATGTTTAGATATACACTGTCTATAAAAAGCAAAGTAGTGGCCTCGTAGGTCATTCCAGTCGCCACCAATTTTCATCGGAACTCCTCCATCTGCGACGATATGGTCCACGTCATTATTGTCGTTAGCGACAAACATAGAACGGAATGTGAAAAAAGGATGTAGGCTTGCGTCTTTCACTAAATGAGTCGCGGTCACGTGCAGCTGTGTTTCTGTCATTGTCGTCTGCATATTTATTGATACGACATTGCTGTCCGTGAAGAAAATTGTCATGTGTAACGAATCTGGGTCAATATCAAGGTGTGATATAGGTGAATAAGGTCGGTTCGAAAGTGGGTCAGTTTGACCAATAATCACTGATGATCCAAAGGGTATCCAGTCAAGTCCATGTGGAGTAGTGGGAAGAAGACGAATGTTTGCGTCTTGATATAAAACAAAAACTTGGGAAAATCCGTTCACTGTCCAGGGCACTCTCCGATATATTCTTAAATAATCAATGTTACTAAACGTAGTCGGTACACCTTTGACAGTTGCGCACATGGTTTCGTTGATGCGCCACCACATATCGACATCCACGCCTTCAATCACCGTCGCTCCATCCTTGTACAACGTCGTGCTTTGATCGTTCCGCATCGGTCTTTTGAACATGAAAATGTCTCCTATTGTTATATTGCCGTTAGAGTTCGGGTCACCATAAACCTCTATCCGTATTTTATTTCCCTTCCCCTCTCTGAATGTGAAATCAGGCGTGACAAATTTGATGCTGCTCTCTGATATTTTAACAGTCTTGTCTTGTTTTGGAGACCAAATATTATACCTGTTGTAGTATTGAAACTGAAATGAAAGAGAACCATCATATCTAATATTTTGTAGATTAAAATGCGCGCCAATTTCAGAATCTGTTGATCCAGTACTAGGACCTTCTAGCTCAAAGTCCACTTCAATAAGAATAACTTTTCTCGTGCCCAATAGTCCTGGGGAAACATTGTAAATACGCAGTGAAGATGATTTAGTATGTAGGCTATGTTCACTATTGAGAGTGATGTTTTTATACTTCCAAAAAGCATCATACATCTGACAATTTGTCCAGTCAGCTCCTCTATTGTTTTGGAACGAGTTATATTTCGGTAAACTTGCAGTAACTACAAAACTTAGTGATGAAGAGCTCTCATAAAACACTGGAATGTTGATATTATCCTCTTCAGCACACTTAGTGGGTACGCTTCTTTGTACAGCTCTTGCATACCCCGCCGACGGCGAAACTGATGGTGTAAAATGTGGATAAGTAGCGTCCTCAAAACAGAACGATTTACAACTTAACGAATCAATCGTCTGCGAATAATTAACACTAACTTTTATATAATCAATTTCAACACCATGTTGGTCAGATTGTATAACTTTTATCGTCAACATATGATGACCTTCTGTTATAGTAGATACCATACTCTGATGTGGTTTGAACATGTCCCACCCTAACCCACCATCAGATAATGCCACTGTTCTAAACTCATCGATTACTACTTTATCTAAACTGACGCTTATCATATCCGAAGGTCCGTCATTCGAGTATTCTATTTCATTAACTGTAAATTTAGTACCAGATATAAAGCATAGTTCAGTTTGAAGTATGTTTCCAGTGTAAAGATGAACAGCTTTGTATCCTGAAGCATGTTGTCTATGATTAACTTCAGACACATCTCCAATCATGTCTTCTGCTTGTATTACAATCTCCGATCCGTCAGCAGACGACAATATAGCTAAACCAAAGACGAATGTTATATAATTCATCATCATCATCCTCACGTAAAATAAGTTTACAAAGCTAACGTTGTATTTATATAAAAGCTAGATGAGTCAGTCGATAAGATAATTTGATGGATGACGTTTTCAACTTGGAGATATACGTATGTTTCTCGCGTGCACACCTATATCCGTCAACATACTGCAACATTTTTAAAAAGAAAAAATACATTATTTGTTGTTATGTATTACATGTACATGTTATACACGAAAAATGTCAATTTAATTCGTTAATTTTAATGACTTGGTCTTATACTATTAATAGATAACAAATATAATAACCTATGTACAATTACACTTTAATTTCACATTTAGGGAGTTCAAAGTAGAAAAAGGTTAACGATACGCTTTTCTCAATGTTGTTTCATAATTAAAGATTACAAAAATGCATGTATATCTGGTCAAAAAGGTAAGATATTTACCACTATTCATCCATCACAAGCAAAATTACATTGATCAACTCGTGTTATAGTCATTAATAGTCATTAACTTTTATATTGTTGAAAAACTATTTTACCGTCTGTTTATCAATTTTAGCGGCACGTCACACTCTTGGACGCTGACTTTCTGGCTATTTTGGTATCGTATCATTTCAAATATATAGAAAGAAGAAATAAATCATTACATGAAACTGTTAAATATCAGAAGTCAGTTATTATTGTCACATCTTCCATTGTTTGTTGCTGATGTTTTGAACTATGCTAAACAAATAAACTTTAAAAAGCTCACAAGGTTATCGGATTAGAACATGATAAAAAAGTTTGAAGGGCAAAACATTTTTTTTATAAAAGTTCAAGCTCTCAAAAGAAGATAAACAACATTGCTTGTAGCAGTGAAAGGTTAGAAAAGAAAAAAGAAATAATAAGTAACTGATTTAATGGTGATATTTTTGTTTACATATAAAGAATTATATCACCTATTCAAAATTTATATAAGTTATAAAGATTTCTGACAGGTTATATGGCCCTATAAAAACGGTTGTTAAACATAAACCGATACATTGCAAACAGCCGTTTATAAACGGTCATATAACCTGTCAGGAATATTTATAACGAACTTATAACACAGTTTTGAGAAAAAAAGTGAGATTTCTAAGAAAATTGACAGCAGCCGTGTATATTATTAGTTATAAAGATTGTTGACAGGTTATATGGCCCAATATAAACGGCTATTTGTAAATATAACCCGAGCCGCTAGGCGAGGGTTATATTACAAACAGCCGTTCATATACGGCCATATAACCTGTCAACAATCTTTATAACGAATTTATAATGCAGCAAGCATCATCTTTTAAAGAAAAATGTAAGATTTCTTCACGAGTCGACAGCAGCCGAGTATATAAACTATATAAACGTCACGATTATCCAATGAAAAGTGACGTTACAGACGTGCAGTATTATAAATAACATTATAATACTGCACGTTTGTAACGTCGCTTTTCATTGGATAATCGCGACGTTTATATAGTTTATTTACACGGCTTCTGTCGATTCATTAAGAAATCTTACTGTTTTCTCTAAAAAATGATGCGTGCTGTATTATAAATTCGTAATAAAGATTGTTGACAGGATATATGGCCGTATATAAACGGCTGTTTGCGATATAACCATCGCCTTGCGGCTCGGGTTATATTTACAAACAGCCGTTTATATACGGCCATATAACCTGTCGACAATCTTTATAACTAATAATATAACCGTCACGATTATTCAATGAAAAGTGACGTTACATAAGTGCAGTATTATAGTATAAGTGATAAAGATTTATTTCATTATTTCTTACTACATGTAGTTATTTCATTAGAGCGGTTTGGAATGAAGTTCTATTTTGAAATACAACAGTCAATAGGTTAGACATATCTTCAAAATAAAGAACATGTAAAATAAAATAAATGCGTCAAATAATTACACGGCAAAGTATCAAAACAATATGTTTAATACTTTAGTCAATCCTCGATTTGTACGTTTTGAAGTGTTATCTGGCATAAGTTACAGTCGTAAAGTCCATATCAATGCTACAGATATATTTTTTTCACGCTAATGATGATTTTCTAATTGTTTGTGTTTAACGTCGCACCTATGATTAATTTTTATTATTATCAACACCATCATTTTTATTATTATTATTATTATTATTATTATTATTATTATTATTATTATTATTATTATTATTATTAACTATTTTCCATCAAAGCTAAATATAATATAGACTGGTCTACAATAGGCTCATTTCCATAAGTATTTAAACTAGTGCTGAAAACAATAGAAAAGTGTCATTTGGATATTGTTATAAAATGTCTCTTGAAAAATATGTTGATAGGATTTTAAGTGATAAATTATAAACATTTATGTGACAAAAAATAATATTTTCTTTTAGAACAATTTATTATCTGCTATATATAATTAATAAGATCATGTATCTCACATTTACCAATAGCATCCATACATAATACTTTTGTGGATTGTTGTCGCGTTATCAGCATAATTATTTATGGTATTACAGACCTTCCATTATGAACCAATTAACTTTAAATCTATATATTAGTGATTATTTGTATATATCTTAATTCATTTTTTTCCCAATTGGTCAAGATATTTTAATTTCTGATGGTTTATTCTATTTTAAACAGTGAGTGAAGATGAGCAGTTACTTTCAAATGGCATGTTACATGCAGATACTGAAAATGTAAGTTTTATAAACAATGGTTTGTAAATTATTTTTACCTTTAAGATATTTTGTTAGCAGTATATTAAGTTGAATGTATATCTTGTTTTACAACAAACAGCAAAAGTTTTAAATAATTATTTTGAGCATTTTGCCATGTCGTTGTTGAACTATACATGTAAATGGTGAAAGGTTAATCCAACATGAATGCTTTTATCACTTTATCTTAATTTACAGCAACACAGTTTCTGAAATTGAATATATTTGTCACTTTAAAGATAAAAATGCCTTATTCTTCCAAAACAAAATCGACACCATGAACCTTACACTAATTTTCGAAACGTTTTTAAATCACGCGAGATTGTGTCCTTAATAATGGGGAGATTGTGATTTAATTAATCAATTAACTAGGCGTATTTCTTTAATAAGAGCATGTTTTCAAATAGATGAAACGTTATTTTTTGTCACGAGACAAATTTAAAGCAATTAAACCAATATTTTTAGCGGTTTTTTATTGTTTTAAATGTTTGATGGTTTTAAGATGGGGATGCCCACTCCTGTCAATATCATTCATTATCCGTAAGATGGTGATCTGTGTTATATGTGATATTAACAAAATTGTACTTTTAAAAAGAAAGTATGTTCATAAATGAATTAACAACTTTACATGCGAAATTAAAATATTTCTTTTTTCTAGGGAAACGTGTCGAAACATCATAAGGAAAATTTAAAAGGGCATTGGATAGACCATCGTGATAATGAATTAATGTATATGGTACTCTAGCGATTTGTCTGGACATTTTGCTAAAAAGTGCTAATTTGGCTGGCGTCTGCTTGACTTAAATTTCGCAAAATTTGCCGACCATTTCCTCTATATTTTCCAGATTTATTTTTCTTCTTCTACTGGTTGAACATACAAACCCTAGCTCTAACATCGGCGTTCTTACATTCAAGTTTTATGTTATTGAATTAACAAACATTTATTTCTGAACTAAGGGGTCGCTTTGGAATAGCTTATTCAAATACATTTATACACTTCTTGATTCATAATGACTTTTTTCGATAAAAAATAGGGCATTTTCGAAAAATAAAAAAGCATTTTCGTCAATTTCTTTATGCGACCATAACTTTATCTGGCGCGTTTCACCAGATATCGTATGCATATAACCTTTGCAGGAAAAGTCGTCTTGAATCACTCATTGTATATTTATCTTTGAAACTAATATTTTATTACAGCTACTGGTATGTATATAATGACAAGTATTTTTTTATTTATTTCTTAAGTATTATTATTTTTGTATTAATCATTTTATAGTGAGGGACGAATATTCTTTCACAGTTAAGTCAAAAGTAAGTTTAAACGTTATATAGAAAAGAAAATAATTGTTGTAGAGGTGTGTAACACTATATATTTTTATTTTCCACATAATAATATTTTTAGTCACATAGTGTACTCTCCAGACTAATACCTCTTGTATGTTTTTTTCGCCGCTTACATTAACGTGTACTATTGCTTCCACATTTTATAATAGTCTTGTAAATAAAAGTACCAGAATGTTATGTTCCAAAACAATCGGAACAAATCGGCTATTGGTCCTTATCCGAAGACTGGCGGAAATGACCGAAATGTCGCAATTGGTTCCAATACAGAGCATTCAAGCACATGTATTTCTTGTAGTCGCCTGATAAACGTCAGAAGTCTTATGAAATCAATATTATAGCTCGTAGATCTAGAGCAGCATGTATATGTTTATCTGAAACATGGCTGGATGATCAGTTCCTGATTCTGAAATTTATATTGAAAATTATTGTGTACAACGAAAAGATCGCAACAGGCATGGTGGTGGCGTATGTATTTACACAAGGAAAGATTTGTCGTTCAACAACCGGAGTGATCTATCTCATGCAGAACTTGAAGCAACCTGGATTGAACTGATTTTACCTAAATCAAAACCTATTTTATGTGGCGTAATATACAGACCTCCTTCACAGCAAACATTTTATTCTATTTTAGACTCAGTGTGCTCTATTAATAATGACTTTTTAGAATATGAAACATTATTACTAGGTGATTTTAATACAGATGTGTCTAGTGACAAGTCTTGTCCTCTTTTCAAGTGTTTTAAATCATGTATTCATATGTTTCATTTTAATCAGTTAATAAGTGAACCTACACGAATTTGTTCTAAAGTTCAACAACTATTGATTTAATTTTAGTATCTGACCATGATAAAATTTCTCAATCAGGTGTTATAAATACTTAATTTAGTGATCATAACATGATTTACTGTACAAGGAAACTCTCTTATCTTTTATTGGTTCTCACAATAATGTTACTCTAAGATCTTTAAAAAAGTATGATAAGGAAGACTTTTAAGCTAGTCTATTATCTACTGATTGGAATCCGGTATTACTGAGTGATAATGTGAATGAATCATGGGACATGTTTAAAGAAATATTCTTATCTGTAATAAACAATATTGCTCCAGTTAAACAAACTAGGTTGAAACAAAGAACAAAACCTTGGATTGACTCTGATATACTTTAGGCTATCAGTGATAGAGATACAGGTTTTAAAATTTATAAAAGTAACAGAACATTGAATAATTTTAATTTGTTTTAACGTCTCAGAAATAAGGTGCAGTATTTAGTTCACTCTGCAAAATCAAGTTATTTTACTATTCAACTTGAGGAGAACAAAAATGATTCTAAATCTTTATGGAAATCTCTCAAAAATCTTGGGCTGCCATCTAAGAAAGGATCTTCTTTATCTAGTTCTAATATTTGTTTAAAAATTGATGAAAAGGTTTGTTTTGATTGCTGAGACTTTTAACAATTTCTATACAACTGTTGCTTGTAAACTTGTTGAAAAACTTCCTAAATGT